CCGGGGGTCTGGGGGCGACTAAAACCTCATGGGAAGGGGGGCGTTCCGGTCCGTCCTTCACGCCCTACCGCGGTCACCAGTTGCCCCCCACGAGCGGCTCTCCAGCACGGCCACAGCCCCAGAAACACAAGGGCTTAATGCAGAACCAGCAGCTTGGAGCAGAAAAGTGAAAGGACTATGCATTAATCCAGGCAATCATTTCTGCCCAGAGGGGAAAGGGTGTTGCTCCCTTCCGCCCTCCTCCCTCTGGAAAGAAAGATGGCGGCCACATGGGAGCCTTGTGGACAGCAGGTATGAGCCGGGGGTGTGGGGGCGACTAAAACCTCATGGGAAGGGGGGCGTTCTGGTCCGTCCTTCACGCCCTACCGAGGTCACCAGTTGCCCTCCGCGAGCGGCTCTCCAGCACGGCCACAGCCCCAGAAGCACAAGGACTTAATGCAGAACCCAGCAGCTTGGAGCAGAAAAGTGAATGGACTTTGCATTGATCCAGGCCATCAAGTCTGCCGCAGGGGAAAGGGTGTTGCCCCATTCGCCCTCTCCTCTCTGGAAAGAAAGATGGCGGCCACATGGGAGCCTTGTGGACAGCAGGTATGAGCCGGGAGTGTGGGGGCGACTAAAACCTCATGGGAAGGGGGGCGTTTCTCTCCGCCCTTCACGCCCTACCGAGGCCACCGGTTGCCCCCCGCGAGCGGCTCTCCAGCACGGCCAGGACTCCAGAACACAGAAACCAATTTCTTAACTATCTGACTTTCAGTAGAAATACTTCCAGGGTCAATAGGTAAAATAGCAGAAATCCAAAACCAACATTTAATTCTTGAACCCAGCCGTAGAAAGCAAATCACTTCACAATGCTTTTTCAGCATGTCTGATTTGGGGGGGGGGAGTAAACTCTAAATAATAGTGGTGAATCTTTTATTGAAACAATGAATCTAATCAAAGCAGATAGAGTGTTAACTAGAATTCATCTGCCTCACAGGGACGGGGAGGGGTGGGGGGTGGGGTTTTTTTGGGGTTCTTCATGGTAAAAAATAAGAAAAAAAAAAAGAAATGGCCTTCACTCTCTCTTATGACCTTCTTCACACTGAAATTGATGTGGTCTGATATTAGAATGGCTACCCCAGCTTTTTTATGGGAGCTGTTTGCCTGTAGGATTGTTTTCCAGCCTTTGACTCTGAGTCTGTGTTTGCTTTGACTATTGAGGTGTGTTTCTTGCAGGCAGCAGAATGTTGGGTACAATTTTCTAATCCATCCTGCTACTCTATGTCTTTTAATTGGTGTGTTTTGCCCATTGACATTGAGAGAGATTATTGTTATGAGATTTTGTCCCATTGTTCTGTTGAAATTTGGTGTATTTGAGGGGCCTGTCTTGCCTTAAAGTAGCCCATTTAGTTGTTCTTGTAACCATGGTTTTGAGTCTATGAAGTTCCTGAGCTGTTGTTTGTCTGTGAAACTGTGTGTTGTTCCTTCTATTATGAATGAGAGTCTCGCTGGGTAAAGTATTTTTGGGGAGGCATTTATTTCATTGAGTTTTTTCACTATGTCCCACCACTGTTTTCGGGCCATGAGGGTTTCATCAGAAAAATCAGCTGTGAATTTTTTTTTAAATTTATTTATTTATTGAATCACTGTGGGAAAGGTTACAAAGCTTTCAGGTTTAGGTCTCAGTCATGCAAATATCAAACACATTTCCCTTTACCAATACTTATTTTTTACCATGAAGAACCTCAATAAAACCCCACCCCGCACCCCTCCCCATCCCTGTGAGGCAGATGAATTCTAGTTAACACTCTATCTGCTTTGATTAGATTCATTGTTTCAATAAAAGATTCACCACTATTATTTAGAGTTTACCCCCCCCCCCCAAATCAGAGATGCTGAAAAAGCATTGTGAAGTGATTTGCTTTCTACAGCTGGGTTCAAGAATTAAATGTTGGTTTTGGATTTCTGCTATTTTACCTATTGACCCTGGAAGTATTTCTACTGAAAGTCAGATAGTTAAGAAATTGGTTTCTGTGTTCTGGAGTCGTGGCCGTGCTGGAGAGTCGCTCGCGGGGGGACCGGTGGCCTCGGTAGGGCGTGAAGGACGGACCGGAACGCCCCCCTTCCCATGAGGTTTTAGTCGCCCCCAGACCCCCGGCTCATACCTGCTGTCCACAAGGCTCCCATGCGGCCGCCATCCTTCTTTCCAGAGAAGAGAGGGCGAATGGGGCAACACCCTTTCCCCTCCAGCAGACTTGATGGCCTGGATTAACGCATAGTCCTTTCACTTTTCTGCTCCAAGCTGCCGGGTTCTGCATTAAGTCCTTGTGCTTCTGGGACTGTGGCCGTGCTGGGGAGCCGCTCGTGGGGGGCAACTGGTGACCTCGGTAGGGCGTGAAGGACAGACCGGAACGCCCCCCTTCTCGTGAGGTTTTAGTCGCCCCCACACCCCCGGCTCATACCTGCTGTCCACAAGGCTCCCATGCGGCCGCCATCCTTCTTTCTAGAGAAGAGAGGGCGAATGGGGCAACACCCTTTCCCCTCTGGGCAGAAATGATGGCCTGGGTTAACGCATCGTCCGTTCAGTTTTCTGCTCTAAGCTGCTGGTTTCTGCATTAAGTCCTTGTGTTTCTGGGGCTGTGTCCGTGCTCCAAACTTAACTCTGATTTTCAGGGAGAAAGATTGGGTGGTTTACTTCTCATTGATCACTTTGTATATAGAGAGATGTCGCGTGGCCGAAAGTCCTCGTTCCCGCATACTCGAGCTGTATTTGTAGAGGCTTCTGGTCATTGGGGTTCCATTTGGGGGAGGCGGGATGCGGCACCTCCTCCATCTGGAACTTGCCGGTGATCTCGGCTCTTTTTTGAACCTGGTTTTTTTTTTTTTCCCTCCGGGATCTGTGGTTCCCGCACCCTCCATGTGGTCCTTAGGCTGAACGCTTCAAAGATGGCGCTGGGGGGCGGGCTGTGGGCGTGACTTCCGGAATCAGAGGTTACCTGGGAGGTGTAGTCCGGCAGATTTGAGAAAAAGGCCTCGTTCTCGCATACTCGAGCTGTGTTTGTAGAGGCTTCTGGTCACCGGGGTTCCATCTGGGGGAGGCGGGATGCGGCACCTACTCCATCTGGAATTTGCCGGCGATCTCGGCTCTTTTTTGAACCTGTTTTTTTTTTTTTTTTCCCCTCCGGGATCTGTGGTTCCCGCACCCTCCATGTGGTCCTTAGGCTGAACGCTTCAAAGATGGCGCTGGGGGGCGGGCTGTGGGCGTGACTTCCGGAATCAGAGGTTACCTGGGAGGTGTAGTCCGGCAGATTTGAGAAAAAGTCCTCGTTCCCGCATACTCGAGCTGTGTTTGTAGAGGCTTCTGGTCACTGGGGTTCCATCTGGGGGAGGCGGGATGCGGCACCTACTCCATCTGGAACTTGCCGGTGATCTCGGCTCTTTTTTGAACCTGTTTTTTTTTTTTCCCTCCGGGATCTGTGGTTCCCGCACCCTCCATGTGGTCCTTAGACTGAACGCTTCCCAGCTGTGAATTTTAAGGATGGAAAAATCCTTTGTAAGAGATTTCTTTTTTCGATCTTGCTGCTTTCAGAATTTTGTCTCTGTCTAAGGTTTTGGTCATTTTGATCAGAATGTGTCTTGGGGTATTTTTATTCGGATTTCTTCTAGCTGGTACCCTTCGGGCCTCCTGAATGTGGTCACAAGTTTTCTTCAGCTCTGGAAACGTTGTAGCAATGATGTCTTTGACAGTTTCTTCTTCATCAAGGTTTTCTTCCTGTACCTCTGGGACTCTAATAATTCTTATGTTACCCCTCTTGACTTCATCACGATCTTCTCTTGCCTTCTGTTCCTGAATTGTGAGTCTCTTTTCCATTTTCTGCTCTTTTCTGGAGAGTCTCTGAACTTCATCTTCGAGCTCAATGATTCTATTCTCAGCAGCTCTTACTCTGCTGCTGAGGCCTTCCACTGAGTTTTTCAATTCGCCTACGAGATTTTTCAGGTCTGACATTTCCGATTGCATTTTCCTCATTTCTGCCTTCAAATCCTCTTGTCTTCTATTGGCGTTGCTTTCCATTGTTTCTTTTAGTTCCCTAAGCACCCTAAGTAGCTCCCTTCTGAATTCCTTGTCAGATTGGTTGTCTAACACTACAGTACTGTTGGTGTCATCTGGGCTAGACTCTTCAATAAGAAAGTTTGGTGGGCTTTTTGCGTTGCTTTACCATTGTGACAAGTGTGGTTTAGTCCTTCACGTTCACTGTTACTGTTCTGTTTGATATTCAGTGTGAGTTAAGATAGGCTTATGAGTTATTGGCTACTGTGTTTCTAGTGGCTGAGCTAAACTAGAGAAGTTTCCATCTAAGAAGGTAGCTTATGGTTCCTATGGCGTATGTAGTGGGAAAATATTTTGTGACTGCGTTAGCGGCTGCGGCTCTGGAAAGAGTCCCTGGCACTGGGCTAGGAGTTGGGAACGTCTCCTGGTTGGAATGAGGAGCCGTTCAGCTTTGTTGCCCAGAGCTTTGTTGCCTCCGTGCCCGTCCCGCGCAGATCAGGGGAGAAAACCGGCTTTCTAGGAGATGGAGCTAGCTGCACATGCCCAGAGAGGGTCCCAGGCCCTTCGGGGTGGGCTGTACCTGGTTGGAATAGGAGCCGTTCAGCTTTGTTGCCCAGAGCTGGGCCTCCGTGCCTGTCCCGCGCAGATCAGGGGAGAAAATTGGCTTTCTAGGAGATGGAGCTAGCTGCGCATGCCCAGAGAGGGTCCCAGGCCCTTGGGGGCGGGATGTACCTGGTTGGAATAGGAGCCGTTCAGCTTTGTTGCCCAGAGCTGGGCCTCCGTGCCCGTCCCACGCAGATCAGGGGAGAAAAACCACATATCCTAATTTTTAAGAAAAATTTCTAGAAACAAGTAACCATGTTCTGGTTATCAGCAGGTACACTCAGGATTCCTAACTGCATCATCTATGGGTTCACAATAATATTTTTATGTGATAAGTACTCCAAAATTCATTCACACATTATTATTATAGGTACTTATTACAGTGCCTGCCTGCCTTGAAATTCTGCTGCTGTCTCCTCATCGCCAAAAATGGGCCAAAAGGATCAGATATGTTATATTTGATGAGGTAGGTTTGTTAATATTTCTTTGAGTTGATTTCTTAGTTGTATAGTATAATAATGATCTTTGGGACCTCTGACCCTTTCTATGGAACTCAAGTTGCGACACTTTCTGAAGATTTCCGTCATGCAAAGAGTGCGTGACACTCTTTGGCTGTAATTTCCTGCTGTGATTTAGTCAGCTTTATCAGTGCTGCCTGGAAAATTCTGTCTAGGAGCCTGTTATAGTGACTATTCTTTCAAAGGAAAAACACTGAAACACCATTTCCAAGTTTCTTTCAACAGAGATTTCAAATTCTAATTTTTTAAATTCATGTTGGGATTTCAGTCAAATAATGTTTCAACACGGATCCCTTCAACGAGTGTCCACTTCCCTCCCCCAGTTCCTACACCACCCTACCTCTTTTCTTTCCCACTGCCTCTATGGCGGGTACTTTTTTTTTTAAAAATGAGTTTTTGTACTGTGTTTTACTGTTGCTGTAAACAGTACTATATCAGTACAGCATCAGTTGCTGACAGAGTTTATACATAATGCTTCACTGCCTTTCAGCACTAGCTCCTGCTACTGGTTGAACACTTTGCTCTATCATAGACGCTGCCTCCTTCCTGTCATATTTCCCAACCATCATTCCGCCTCTAACCAAGTGGCATGTTTCCTGCCGTATATCAGGTTTTTATGTTCTTTGTCAAACTCCAGTTGTTGATTTTGATAGAACAAAACAAACCATCATGGCATCAGTTTCTTTAGGCAAAGATGTCAAAATCCAGTCTTTGATTTCTAAGCAAAGAATTTTAGGTTCCAATAATGATATCACTTAGGTAAGTTATTTATCAGTTATAATCTAAATAAAACTGTATACTTAAGATAGCAATTCAAATCTTTACAACATACAGCCAAAGAGAAGGACCACATGGAGGGCGGGAACCACAGATCCCGAAGGGAAAAAAAAAAACAGGTTCCTAAAAGAGCTGAGATCATCGGGAAGTCCCAGATGGGGTAGGTACCGCATCCCGCCTCCCCCAGATGGAACCCCAGTGACCAGAAGCCTCTACAAGCACAGCTCGAGTATGCGGGAACTAGGACTTTTCCTCAAATCTGCCGGAACTACAACTCCCAGGTAACCTCTGATTCCGGAAGTCATGCCCAAAGCCCGCCCCCCAGCGCCATCTTTACAGCATACAGCCAAAGAGAAGGGCCACATGGAGGGCGGGGATCCACAGCTCCCGAAGGAAAAAAAAAACAGGTTCCAAAAAGAGCCGAGATCATCGGGAAGTCCCAGATGGGGTAGGTACCGCATCCTGTCTCCCCCAGATGCAACCCCGGTGACCAGAAGCCTCTACAAGCACAGCTCGAGTATGCGGGAACTAGGACTTTTCCTCCAAACCGCACGGATGCTTACGCCGCCGTGCGACATCTCTCTATATACAAAGTGATCCATGGGAAGTAAACCACCCAACATTTCTCCCTGAAAATCAGAGTTAAGTTTGGAGCATGGCCACAGCCCCAGAAACACAAGGACTTAATGCATAACCCAGCAGCTTGGAGCAGAAAAGTGAACGAACTATGTGTTAATCCAGGCCATCATGTCTGCCCGGAGGGGAAAGGGTGTTGCCCCATTCGCCTTCTCTTCTCTGGAAAGAAGGATGGCGGCCGCATGGGAGCCTTGTGGACAGCAGATATGAGCCGGGGGTGCGGGGGCAACTAAAACCTCAAGGAAGGGGGGCGTTCTGGTCCATCCTTCATGCCCTACCGAGGTCACCAGTTGCCCCCCGTGAGCGGCTTTCCAGCACAGCCACGGCCCCAGAAGCACAAGGACTCAATGTAGAACCCGGCAGCTTGGAGCAGAAAAGTGAATGGACTATGCATTAATCCAGGTCATCATGTCTGTCTGGAGGGGAAAGGGTTTTGCCCCATTCGCCCTCTCCTCTCTGGAAAGAAGGATGGCGGCCACATGGGAGCCTTGTGGACAGCAGGCATGAGCCGGGGGTGTGGGGGCAACTAAAACCTCATGGGAAGGGGGGCGTTCCGGTCCGTCCTTCACACCCTACCGAGGTCACCAGTTGCCCCCCACGAGCGGCTCTCCAGCACGGCCACAGCCCCAGAAGTAGAAGGACTTAATGCAGAACCCAGCAGCTTGGAGCAGAAAAGTGAACGAACTATGCATTAATCCAGGCCATCATGTCTGCCCGGAGGGGAAAGGGTGTTGCCCCATTCGCCCTCTCTTCTCTGGAAAGAAAGATGGCGGCTGCATGGGAGCCTTGTGGACAGCAGGTATGAGCTGGGGGTGTGGGGGCGACTAAAACCTCATGGGAAGGGGAGCGTTCCGGTCCGTCCTTCACGCCCTACCGAGGTCAACAGTTGCCCCCTGCGAGCGGCTCTCCAGCACAGCCACGGCCCCAGAAGCACAAGGACTTAATGCAGAACCCGGCAGCTTGGAGCAGAAAAGTGAACGGACTATGCATTAATCCAGGCCATCATGTCTGTCTGGAGGGGAAAGGGTGTTGCCCCAGTCGCCCTCTCCTCTCTGGAAAGAAAGATGGTGGATGCATGGGAGTGTTGTGGACAGCAGGTATGAGCTGGGGGTGTGGGGGCGACTAAAACCTCATGTGAAAGGGGGCGTTTCGGTCCGCCCTTCACGCCCTACCGAGGCCAACAGTTGCCCCCCACGAGCGGCTCTCCAGCACGGCCACGACTCCAGAGCACTGAAACCAATTTCTTAACTATCTGACTTTCAGTAGAAAGTCAATATGTAAAATAGCAGAAATCCAAAACCAACATTTAATTCTTGAACCCACCTGTAGAAAGCAAATCACTTCACAATGCTTTTTCAGCATGTCTGATTTGGGGGTGGGGGTAAACTCTAAATAATAGTGGTGAATCTTTTACTGAAACAATGAATCTAGCAGATAGAGTGTTAACTAGAATATCATCTGCCTCACAGGGACTGGGAAGGGTTGGGGGTGGGGTTTTATTGGAGTTCTTCATGGTAAAAAAATAAGTATTGGTAAAGGGAATTGTGTTTGATATTTGCATGACTGAGACCTAAACCTGAAAGCTTTGTAACATTTCCCACAGTGATTCAATAAATAAATAAATAAATAAACACAAAAGATAGCAATTCAAGAAGAATGTTTTCCAAAGCTATGAATGAGGAAAACTATAAATATTAGTAACCCAAACTTTGTGTGCTTTTTCTTAGGCTTAAAGAGAAAAAAAGCCAAAGAAGGAATCATTGACATTCAAAAGGAGATTCCTATCAGAAGGATCAATTAGGCCTGTGATGTTAGTTGAGGCAAATTTTCCTAAAGGAAAACAAATGGAACCAAGATGTCATTTTCATTTATCTCTATTTTTTCCGATTTCTTGCCAGGTTTTATAATGAATGGTTCCTTTGGAGGTAGAGAACATAGTTCCCTTTGAAGTGATCCACAGTTTTGTTTCTCTGAGAAAATGAGTGGGATGAAAAACTATTAATAAAGATTTTAGGGACAAATAAAAGATATTTTAAAATGGTATGGCAAATTTAATAAGTGTATTTATTCAAAGATATTTGAACATCCTAAAAGAATACACTCTTTTTCTAAGGAATTATTAATTTAAAGAAAAATATGTCAAGGCAGTATTTAACATTTCTGTTATAAACTTGAGCTACTGTTTTAGTTTTGATCTGTTTAATATTGATATATTTGATCGAATTTTGATTAATCTGTCTTTATTGCAATCCCAAAGCCTTAAATTTTCCTATTAAAGAAAAATCCAACAATAATGTCATCTAAAACTTTCAATTTTACTTTAGTCTCAAAATTATGAAACAAAATTATTTGGTCCTCTCCACCCCAAGTTTATATAAAAGTGAAATGAAAATGTTTTTAAGATTGATGTCTGTTTTTTTAGGTTATAAAAATATTCTTAATGCAAAAGCTAATTTATCATAGTGGTATATTATCTGACTTGAATAGAATAAACTTAACAGTGGAATATTTTTTTTTGCTTTTTGGGTCACACCTGGTGATTCTTAGGGCTTACTCCTGGCTCATGGAGTCAGGAAGTACTCCTGGGGGTGCTCGGGGGACATATGAAATGCTGGGAATCCAACCCGGGGTCGGCCATGTTGGCTGCGTGCAAGGCAAATGCCCTACCCGCTGGGCTATCACTCTAGCCCCAACAGTGGAAATTTTGAAAAAGAAATGATTTAACTCTGTTAGTAAGTCCTTTCTAGTTTATTCCTTGTGTCACAGGAACTCAATATTTAATCTATTTTAGAATCATATATTTGATGGGGACCACACTTGAAGTCATTTCTGTAAATGTAGTTCTATTTGCTTTGTTTGATCCAAAGACATTCACTCAGCAATATTTAAAGAATGCTTCCTCAGAGCCGAGCACTTTCAGTGACTTCACACTTTATATAGGTGAGGCTCTGACTTTGAACCCTTGCAATGCGGAATAAATAAAATTATTCATAGTATTTTTAATACATTAATACAAAGAGTAACATATCAATTTTTGTGAATGCTCCAGGGCCCAGAAAAGTTGTATTTCAGAAACAAAGGCTAGTATGTTTCAAACAAATTGGGAGCAAAATGGGATAACACAGTCTGAGATTAAGCTAGAGAGGCAAATATGAATCAAAGTGTGATTCATACATACTACATACCTACATACTCTGTTAAGGAATGCATATTTTGTTCCACCAGCAATGAGAGAATATTGAATACAGTTAATTAATGGACATGCCATGATCTAATTTTTCTTATATTCATATAATTTTTGTCATAATGTGAAGAATGTAGAAATCAGGAAGATAAATTATATAGCTAGGGTAGTCATCAGAATGTTATTGTGATGGTGTCATCAATGCCCTTAACTAACCAAGATAATGGTAACTTGATTGAAAGCAGAAAGAAGAAATGTATAGATTTGAAAGAACTGTTTAGAAGTAAGAGCAATTATTGACAGATTGGTAATATAGATTTAAAAAATTGTGTATTGGAAAAAACCGAGAGCCTTCCCCCTAAGATCAGGAATGAGACAAGGATGCCCACTCTCTCCACTACTGTTCAACATAGTACTGGAAGTACTTGCAATAGTGATTAGGCAAGAAAAAGATATTAAGGGCATCCAGGTAGAGAAGGAAGAAATCAAGCTCTCACTATTCCCTGGCGGTGCTCAGGGGACCATATGAGATGCTGGGAATCGAACCCGGGATTGGCCATGTTGGCTACGTGCAAGGCAAATGCCCTACCCGCTGTGCTATCACTCCAGCCCCAACAGTGGAAATTTTGAAAAAGAAATGATTTAACTCTGTTAGTAAGTCCTGTCTAGTTTATGCCCTGTGTCACAGGAACTCAATATTTAATCTATTTTAAAATCAGATATTTGATGGGGACCACACTTGAAGTCATTTGATATGATAATATACTTAGAGAACCCTAAAACCTCTACCAAGAAACTCCTAAAAACAATAGAATTGTATAGTAAAGTGACTGGCTATAAAATCAATACCCAAAAGTCCATGGCTTTCCTTTATGCAAATAGTGAAAGAGATGAAAGTGACATGAAGAAAACAATCCCATTCACAATTGTGCCCCAGAAAATCAAGTACATGGGAATCAGCTTAACTAAGGAAGTAAAGGACCTGTACAAAGAAAACTACAAAATGCTACTTCAGGAAATAAAAGAGGACATGAGGAAATGGAAAAATATCCCCTGCTCATGGATGGGGAGAATTAACATTGTCAAAATGGCAATACTTCCCAAAGCACTGTACAAATTCAATGCAATCCCTATAAGGATACCCATGACATTCTTCAAAGAAATGGAGCAAACACTCCTGAAATTTATATGGAACAATAAGCCCCCACGAATAGCTAAAGCAATTCTTGGGAAAAAGAAAATGGGAGGAATCAATCTCCCCAACTTCAAGCTCTACTACAAAGCACTAATAATTAAAACAGCATGGTACTGTAACAAAGCAGAGCTGCAGACCAATGGAACAGAGTTGAATATACTGACATCTCCTCCCAAGCATATGATCATCTAATCTTCGATAAGGGGGCATGAAAAGTGAAAAGGAGCAGGGAAAGCCTCTTTAATAAATTGTGCTGGCAAAACTGGACGGCTACATGCAAAAAAGTTGGCTGAGTTCTTTGCCTAACGCCATGCACAAAAGTAAGATCAAAATGGATTTATGACCTCAATATCAGACCGGAATCCATAAGGTACGTTGAAAACAAAGTTGGCAAAACCCTCCATGACATTGAAGCTAATGATATCTTCAAAGATGTCACACCACTGGCCAAGCAAGTGAAAACAGAGATAGACAAATGGGACTATCTTATTTTTTTTCCTTTAGAATTAAATTTTATTTTAAGATACACATTTCTGAACATAGAGCACATGGTTCCCATAAACGTAGATCTATATATTACAAATATGTTCTATTAGTAATAATATTTGTCACAATTAATGAACCATTATTAATATATATAAAAGTCAATTATTCATTAAGATATACCTAGTTATTATTTAATGACCTTCTCATACTTAAAATATCATCTAGAACACTGCATTATATTTTCTTTTTTTTAATTTTTTTTTATTAGTGAAACACCATGAGGTACAGTTGTAGATTTACAATTTTTTGTGCTTGGGTTTGATTATACAATGATCAGATACCCATCCCTCCACCAGTGCCCATTTTCCACCACCATGGATAATATCCCCCCCACCCCCTTCCCCCCATCCCCCCCAGCCTCTGTGGCAGGGCAATTCCCTGTGTTCTCTCTCTCCTTTTGGGTGTTGTGGTCTGCAAAAGAGGCATTGAGTGGCAAACATGTTCAGTCCATAGTCCACTTTTGACATGCATCTCCCCTCCTGGGAGGATCCTCCAAACACCCTTTATTTGGTGTTCCCTTCTCTATCTGAGCTGCCCTTTCCTCTAGAATGCCTGGCTGGCCACTAAGCTATGGAGTAATCCTCCTGGTGCTAATCTAAGCTATTCTTGGGTATTAATCTCATATTTTGTTACTTTATGTCCCCCAGATGAATGCAATCTTTCTATGTCTATCCCTCTCTTTCTGACTCATTTCGCTTAGCATGATACTTTCCATGTTGTACCACTTGTATGTAAATTTCATGACTTCATCTTTTCTAAGAGCTACATAGTACTCCATTGTGTAGATGTACCAAAGTTTCTTTAACCAGTCATCTGTTCTTGGGCATTCAGGTTTCTTCCAGTTTCTGGCTATTGTAAAGAGTGCTGCAATGAACAAACAATTGCAGATGTCACTTCGACTATACATTTTTGCCTCTCTGGGATATATTCCCAGGAGTGGTATGGCTGGGTCAAATGGGAGCTCAATTTCTTAATTTTTTGAGAATCGTCAATACTGTTTTCCAGAAGGGCTGAACCAGTCGACATTCCCACCAACAGTGAAGGAGTGTCCCTTTCTTGCATTGGTTGCTTTTGTTCTTTTGAATGTGGGCCAGTCTCTGAGGTGTGAGATGGTATCTCATTGTGGTTTTGATCTGCATCTCCCTGATGATTAATGATGTAGAGCATTTTCTCATGTGCTTTTTTGCCATTCTGATTTCTTCTTTGAGAAAGTTTCTGTTCATTTCATTGCCCCATTTTTGGATGAGGTTGGATGTTTTCTTCTTGTGGAGTTTAACCAGTATTTTGTATATCCTAGATATCAACCCCTTGTCAGATGTGTATTTGGCGAATATCCTTTCCCATTCTGTAGACTGTCTTTGTATTTTGGTCACTGTTTCTTTGGAGGTGCAGAAGCTTCTTAGTTTAAGATAGTCCCATTTATCTATCTCGGTTTTCACTTGCTCAGACATTGGCGTGGCATCTTTGAAGATACCATTAGCTTCAATGTCATGGAGGGTTTTGCCAACTTTGTCTTCAATGTACCTTATGGTTTCTGGTCTGATGTTGAGGTCTTTAATCCATTTTGATCTTACTTTTGTACATGGTGTTAGGCAGAGTTCTGAGCCCATTTTTTTGCATGTAGCCGTCCAGTGATGCCAGCACAATTTGTTAAAGAGGCTTTCCTTACTCCACTTCACATTACTTGCACCTTTATCAAAGATTAGATGATCATATGATTGAGGGGAGATGTCAGTGTATTTAACCCTGTTCCATTGGTCTGCTGTTCTGCCTTTGTTCCAGTACCATGCTGTTTTAATTATTACTGCTTTGTAATACAGTTTGAAGTTTGGGAGGTTGATTCCTCCCATTTTCCCATGAATTGCTTTAGCTATTCGTGGGGACTTATTGTTCCATATAAATTTCAGGAGTGTTTGCTCAAATGGGACTATCTTAAACAAAGAACTTTCTGCACCTCAAAAGAAACAATGACCAAAATACAAAGACAGTCTACAGAATGGGAAAGTATATTCGCCAAATACACATCCAACAAGTGGTTGATATCAAGGATATACCAGACACTGGTTGAACTCCACAAGAAGAAAACACTCAACCGCATCAAAAAATGGGACGAGGAAATGAACAGAAACTCTCGCAAAGAAGAAATCCGAATGGCTAAAAGGCACATGAGAAAACGCTCTACATCACTAATCATCAGGGAGATGCAGATCAAAACAACAATGAGATATCATTTCACACCACAGAGACTGGCCCACATCCAAAAGAACTAAAGCAACCGATGCTGGCATGGATGTGGCGAGTAAGGGACCCTCCTTCACTGCTGGTGGGAATGCCAACTGGTCTAACCCTTTTGGAAAACAGTATGGACGATTCTCAAAAAATTAGAATTTGATCTCCCATTTGACCCAGAAATACCACTCCAGGAACTACGTCCCAGAGAGGCAAAAAAATATAGTGAAGTGACATCTGCACTTGTTTGTTCATTGCAGCACTCTTTACAATAACTAGAAACTGGAAAAAACCTGAGTGCCCGAGAACAGATGACTGGCTAAAGAAACTTTGGTACATTTACATAATGGAGTACTATGTAGCTGTTAGAAAAGATGGAGTCATAGCATTCACATACAAGTGGTACTACATGGAAAGTATCATGTTAAGCAAAATGAGTCAGAAAGAGCGGGATAGACACAGAAAGATTGCATTCATCTGGGGAGCATAAAGCAACAAAATGGAAGACTAACACCCAGGAGTGTCCGAGATCAGTACCAGGAATTTTGTTCCATGACTTGGAGGCCAACCACAAATGCTAGGGGAAAATGAAGCTCAGTTAGAGAAGAGAGCACCAAATAAAGGGTGTTGGGAGGATCCTCCCAGGGTGGGAGAAGCATGCTGAAAGTAGACTATAGACCAAAAATGATTGCCACTCAGTGCCTCTCTTGCAAACCACAGGACCCAAAAGGAGAGAGAGAAAACAAAAGGGAATGCTCTGCCACAGAGGCAGGGTGGGATGGGGGAGATGGGGGGGTGGGAGGGATCCTGGAACCCGTGTTGGTGGTGGATGGGCGCTGGTGGAGGGATGGGTACTTGATCATTGTTTAACTGAAACTCAGGCACAAAAATTTGTAAATCTATAACTGTACCTCATGGTGTTTCACTAATAAAAAAATATTAATTCATAAGAAACATTTAGCATTAAAAAATGTGTATTGGAGAGATAGTACAGCTGGTAAGATGATTGCCTTGAATGCTGATTACCTAGATTTGATCCTTGCCTATATGATACCTGGAGTACCACCCAGGAGTGATCTCTGAGTACCGAGCAAGGAGTAATGTTTAAGCATAACTGGGTGTGTTCTCAAATTTGAAAATATAAAATTTATGTGTCAGGATTTCCCAAGACCTGAATTAGCCAATGTTTATAGAGATAACATGGTAGTTTACAGGAATACTATAGGTTTGAGGATTCAGGCTTTCATGATTGATGTTTATTAACCATTTTTACTTTTTTCATTGATGATTTTACACGCCTTCTTTAACAGGTCCATTGTCTTGGTGGAGAAATTGGAGCCGAAATTTGGGAGCATCTCCTTGTCATGATCCGTTGTCCCTTTTTGGCTCTTTCTGCTACCATAAGTAACCCTGAACATCTCACTGAGTAAGCATTAGGTTCCAGCTTGGTAGGAATATTTAGATATTTTGAATATTTAAGTTTTATATTTGATTCTTTATAATACCACCATAAAAAGTACAATTTTTAAATTGTGTGCTGTTTCTTTATTTACTGTCACAGGAAGTAGTTGTGTTCTGCTAAATTATATGTCATTTAAAATTTTTTAAGGTGGCTACGCTCAGTAAAATTGTACTGGAAAGAAGTAGACAGCAAGGTGGGAAAAGGGACCATTTCTAAAAAATGTACTGGCTCACGTGCCAGTTCTCACAAAGACGACGTGCGAGTGCGACAGTCATATAATGTTAAACTTGGTATGTTTGATATATTCACAGAAATTTTAATTTTTACTTTGAGATAAATCCATCACATGTTCATTGATTTTGAAAATTATTCTTTTCATTTTTAGTTATTTATGGAGAGAGATATAATGATTTAGAAAAGCATATTTGTTCAATAAAAGATGATGACATTCATTTTGATCATTTTCATCCTTGTGCCGCAATAACAACAGAACATGTGAGTGATACTTTAGTCATATTTGTCCTGCATAGCAAGTTATTAGTATATATCATAATTCAAAAGTTGTGTAGCATATAGTTATCATAATTACAGAATGAAAATTTATGAGATATTTTAATTAGTTGATCTTTGTTTTTATATTTTGATTTAACTGATCTTTATTTTAAAAGTTGCAAGAATAAGTTTATGGATACAATGGGTTTCCAGTAGTTTCTGAATCCATAAGGCTTAAAAACTGTGGGATATTTAATTAATTACATCTGGCAGTGCTCAGAGCTTACTCCTGTTTAGCACTCAGTGATCTCTCCTGGAAGGCTTGGGGGTGCCAGGAATTGAATTCAGGTTGACTGCATGCAAGGCCAATGCACTACCTGCTGTACTATTGTTTTGGGTTCACAGTGGAATATTTTAACCAGAATTTCTTTGGTTAGTTTAATTCATTCTTTGATTTTTTTGACCACTTTATTTAGTCTATCCATACAATTCAGTGACATAGTCCTTAGAGCAGCTATAAAAATTCTGTAACCTCCTTGTATGAAATATGATCACTATTAATTAGATTAAATAACAAAATGCCACTTTTCACTAACAAACCAATCCCAATATACTTTGTTGGGCATTGAATTAAAAAAAAGTAAAGATATTGAGAGGAATTCATTTGAAACATGAGATGAATGGGTAAATATTTCTTGATTACTCTTGCCTGGTACTCTTCCTTTCTCATTCTATTCCCAGGAATGACCTTTTAAATGATCTCAAGTGATAATTAGTCAATAGCTAGTCTCCTTCCATTTAAGATATGGTATTCTAAATTATGTTGTTAAATTAAAACTTATTGAACCTGATTATGGTCTTGCCAAATATTTAGAGGTTTTCCTGTGAACATGATTTGACCGCACTGTTTCTTCACTGGATTTGCAAGGTCTTCCATGACCTGGCTCCAAAGACACTTTTACTTAACCATGTTAAGTATCTTACTCAGAAACCCACATGATTTAAATTGTTCCTAGATTATATCATCCTAAATTCTAAATGCCAGTTGTTCAAATACTGTTTACAAAAGTTATTTTGTAACTTTATAATGTGAAATGTCTTTAAAATCATTTTGTGGTATCCCTAGCCATGAGTAGTCTTTGTCTGTCCAGAGCATCTTATCTGATTAAGTAATATCATGAGGCTAAAGTTGTTTTTATGCTCGTTGTCTTTATCTCACTGACATAAGCCCTTGAACAGTGATTTTGCATCTTTATAGTTCCTAGCAAGCTGCTATGTATATAAAAGAAGTTAAACAAATGCACGCATTAAAACAAATATATAATACATAAGTGTTTGCAATAAAAATAGCCAACCTAAGTCACACATATTTAAAGTTTGACATATTTTGTCTTTCTTAGCTGCCCTAATGCTTCCAAAATAGATATCTTATCAATATTCAATTTTACAATGTAGTAGGTGAGGCATAGAGGATGAATTAATGCACTTTTGCATCCCACTAAGAGATGGTCTAATCAGGACCACAGCATTCTGAGTGACCTTTTTGAAAGATGCCTAAATGAGAATCACTTTACGGTCTCTGGGTTATGATTTAGTGTCTCATAATATTGGCAATTATCTTTTCTTCTTTGTGGTGGGGGAAATACCCAGTTATGCTCAGAGTATACTCATAACGGTCTCTGTTGATGGTGATCATGTGTTTTGAGATTAATTTTATAAAAGACTATTATGGAAGTTTCTCATTTTAGTGGCAATGATCCAATGCAAACTCTGAATAAAAGTAAAATATGGATGAAATTCATGTGGCTTAACTACACCAAACCTAGAATACAAACAATAACCCACACATGAATAATAACTCTCTCTACCCTCTCTAGCTCACTTTTCTTTTTCTATTATTACTTGACATTTAAAAAACCATCATTGTATTAAAAATATCTAGCAATGATTACTGCATTCAGTTGTGGTATATATAAATATATATAGTAGAATAATAATATCCAAGGCCAGGGCAAACAGGAGTTAGGAGGACTGGTCAATGGTTGGAACTAACCACAAGTGTATGGGGGGCTGAGGGTGGGTAAGATAGAGAAGAGAGCGCTATAACAGTAAAAGCTGGGAATGATCATGCTGTACAAGATCTGAGGGTTAAAATAGGAAAGGGATATTCTTGATAACCTTTTAATATCCATTTTGTAAACCACAGTGCCCAAAGGTGGGGAGGAGAGAAGAAAAGCACTTGCCATGGAGGCAGGCAGGGGTGGGGGCTGAGAGGTGATGGGAGAAATCTGGTGACACTGGTGCTGGGAAATGTACACTAGTGGAGGGATGGGTTGGAACACTATCACTGAAATCCAATCATGAACAACAGCTTTGTAATGATCTATCACAGTGATTCAATAAAAAAGTTTAAAAAATCTGGCAATGAACATTTTGTGGTTTGTAGTGCTTGGTGAAATTGGAATTTAGTAACAAGTGCTTCTTTCTCTAGTCTCGGAGTCTATTAATGGAGTAATTGGAAAGCATGTAGAATTGCCACAGCATATTCTGACCCCATATGGGGTTTGCTAAGGTCATGCTGTTATGTGAGTATTTTTACAGCATCTAAATTTTCACACTTGAAGCATAGGTTGAATATCAAGATTGGGGATTAAAAAAACATTTTTTATCTAGTACGTTACTGAGAGTTGCAGTGATGAAGAGCAAGATCTTTCCAAATGAATAACTAAATGTCTTGCATGATGCATATGAAAGAAAAAATAGCAAGAAAATAATAAGTTGTAGCAATGTGAAGGGAAGCAGCATTATCCTAGGTGGTTTCCTCATTAGCACTATCAAAATGATGAATTTCAAAGGGAGGGGTGAGGCAGGACCAGTGAGTTACCTTAGTGTAGCTGAGTTGAGGGGTTGCCTTTAAGCATTCTGAGACTTCTTTGTTTTAGTGATTATGGTACGCAGGAACAGATGCTCAGTCCTGAAGAGACATCAGCCTTAGGGAGTCCCTGAAAGAGTTGTTGCCTAATTCCTTATGCTCAGCATCAGATGATGTTGACCTTATCATTTCACAATATTTACCAAATAAGACTATAATTTCTTATTCATGATGAGAATAATAAGATCTACTCTGAGTAAATTTTTCATTTATGATACATCATTGCCTATATTCACTAGACTGTGTGTTAACTTTCCCGGACCTGTTTTTCTCCTATTTGTACCTTCCAATTTAAAATGTCCAATAAAAACATAAGCTATTTTATTGATCTTTAATTTCACCACATCCTATAAGTAGAAGTGCAGATATTTCTATTTTATATTTTGAATATGGAACTGGAGTTTAGAAAGGGTATTAGGCCAGATTTCCTTATCAAATTTTGTTACCAAATTTCCTTATCAATTTTGTTACTCTTCATTCTACAAACATTTTTTTACTCCATCTGCATTCTGTTAGCAATGATTTTCATAGCCCAGAATTTCCAAGTGTGAGTGAAGCATGTGCCTTATGGTCAAATACTTATGGAGAACTCAGTATACTTTAGTCAATTCTTAGACATTTAACTTTTCAATTGAGAAATCTTGATCGTCCATTTAATAGAACAACAATGAAAATATCTCTCCCACCACAGCTGCTTTTTATTTTAAAGAATCCCTGTTAATATGGCATGGACCGTGGTTTCACATGTAATTGGTGTGCTGAAATAGTGGTAGAAAGTAGTAGAAAACACTGTAATGCAAGCAGTTTTAGAACGGGGATTTTTTATGTTGACAGTTTAATATCCTTGTGGAAAAACAAATGAATGGTTCACATAATTTGAAGGAAGTGCCAAGTCAGTGACCCAGGAGAGAGACTTTTTAGAATGTTTTAAAAGAGATCTAAGAGCCTTAATTTTGTAGATCAGTTTTAGAATTTAAGAAAGAAACTTAGCACAGCGGGTAGGGTGTTCGCCTTACAAGCGGCCAACATGGCCGACCCGAGTTCGATTCCTCCGCCCCTCTGGAGAGCCCGGCAAGCTACCGAGAGTATTCCATATGCCAGACACAGTAACAACAAAGTCTCTGGGCCCGCTCAAGCAAATCTACGATCAACGGGAGGGCCTTTACCTTTACCTTTTAAGAAAGAAACATTTGTAATTAAGTCAACTACAGGTTTAGCTGCAGGGTGGAAGCTGTTGTACCTTGTCTGAAATAAGCCCATGAATCTTTTAGCTTTCAACTACATTGATTTGAATTGTAGAGACAGTTCATAGGGAATTAACTCAATTAAAAGATCTTAGGAAACAATACAAAAAAATTGGTGAACTTTTTCTTTTTTCTGTTTTAGCTAATCATAAATGCTCTTAGTATTTTGTTCTCATTAAATGCTTTTCAATGTTTGAATATTTTAGTTTAATTATATTTGTAATATCTTTAGGTTCATAATACTAACTATGGAGCAAAGGATAGAACATAAGATATAAAGAATATTAAACATTTCAATTTTATTTTAAACATAGATTGAAATGCATGGATTCCCTTCTGATTTTACCCTTTCACCTAGAGAAGGCCTCCAGCTTTATGACACTATGTTTGAGTCCTGGAGAAGTTGGCCAAGGGCAAAGGTAAATAATAAACAGGCAACTAATTGAAATTACTGCTATTAAGGTGGATGAAAACTAGTATCTTATACCTTCTGATTATTTGACTCTTTTGTAGTTTCTCTTAGGTGTTCTTTTTTTCTAACATTTTTGTTTGTAATGGATAGAATTCCAAAGAATTCTTGGTAATAATATCTCTTCTTTTGACCTCTTGGATTTGATGTTGATATCCTGAATGGAGAGAGAGAGAGAGAGAGAGAGAGAGAGAGAGAGAGAGAGAGAGAGAGAGAGAGAGAGAGAGAGAGAGAGAGAGACTGTCAGATCCCCTCCAGATGCTAGGATGGAGATGAGGACCAGTAAATTTCTAATCTCACTTCCTGTGTATACCATAGGCATCTGTCAAGCCATACTTGCGGTCCACTTGATCTTCCTAGTTTTAGGATTTGCGTCTTCAGGGAGCGAGCCTCCAGCAGGGTGCAATGAGATTGCTCTTAACAAGTAAAGGAAGTCAGTTCTGACATCCATCCAGGTCTTGGCCTGGAGTCTTCTGTACCCGAGAAGTGTTAGTTTATTGTCATATAGGGGAAACACTCCAAACTTCAACATTTTGTCATGACTTTTGTTCCTGATGAAATTTCTCCTCTTCTGCCCTGTTCAGCCTTCTTTGGGCCATCATTGGTGCCAATGAGATGTTATTAGCTTTCAATTTCTAATATTCCATTCACATCCACAAAGGATGTCTAGTCTTCATGCTTTGGAAGTTGTTTTGAGTTGGTGACAGAGTAATTTCTTTAGGTCATATATTGTTTTAATTTTTTTCTATTTATTTTTTGGTGCTGAAACCTGGGGAAACACAGACACACAGACACACACAGACACACAGACACATACAGACACACACAGAAACACACACAAACATACTTAATCCTGTCCAAGAAACTTACTGTTAGGATTTATCTACCTTCTCCCTTGTTACCTGCTTACTTGGGATCTATAGTCTCTGTTCTGAAAGTAGTGAAACATAATTGAAAAACACCTTTGATTTTTTCTTGCATGATTTTTATTTAGTATTGCATTACTTATTTTCAAGGAATTGTGTCCAGAGAATTTTATTCATTTTAAGAATAAAATAGTCATTAAAAAGATGGATTTTAGAAAATATGAAGAGAGTTTAAAAGAAGAATTAACAAGCTGGATTAAAAATGGCAATACAAAGGAGGTAATTTTCACACTTACAGGGGAGCACTCTTTCCTTATTGTTTTGAGTTTTCTTAATTTAAGTCTTCAATTTTAATTTTAGTGTTTTAAATTGTGCATGAACTGGTGATTCTAAAGTAGAATAAAAATACAGAAAATTTGACTTGGTCTTAGCCTTGGTGCCTCTAAAATCATGTGCCAGAATAGCTGTTTGCTATTTTGCATACATGCACAGAAGAATCACTGTATCTAAATTGTGCTCTGGATGCCTCAACAGTAGCAATGTGGAGAGTGGAATCACAATAAAAGTAGCTGAGAGGAATCATAAAGTTATAGCTTTATCTTTTTGTCTTGAAGTTTTTATGTTTTGGATTTTAATTTAATTTTTAGTAGCTATATATTAAAACCTTAATCAGGAGGTTGTATTGAATTATACATATTTATTTTAAGTAAGCTCCTGGTTTTTATATTTTGTGTTTTGTTTACTGTCTGTATTGATGTCCATATTGAATTGGAGAAAGTGACATCAACTAGACATTTTCCATATGATAATTTTCCTAATAAATCTTACATTAGACAACTTCTTCCCATTAAGAAATGTATTACAAATGGCTTAATATTTTTTTTTACTTTTTTTGTCATTTAAGACATTAACATGTGATTTTCTTTATATATGGCATCAAGAGAAACTTATTCACCACACCTTTAGCAGTAGTAGAAGTAGTTAATTATTGAACAGTTGTTTTCCTAACTAATTTCTCTTCATTAAAAAGTGCAAGGTAAATGAATGTATATGTACATACATATGTAATTTTTGCTGTCTGTTGCATTTATTTGTTTATTTTTAATGATTCTTTGCAGTTTATTATTATTATTAATCATATACTATACATTATTTTAGAGGTCAATAGAAGTCTAGATTAAACAATTATAGAAATATATTAACCAAAAGTGGTAATTTTTATCTTGATTAGGCAAAACTTAAATAATTTTTATTCTTTACTGCAGGCCAAATTGGTTCTGAGAAAACTTAGACCTCCTTCAGTTTTGAATTCAACAAACTCATTAGAAAATTTTCCTCTTTTTATTGAAAAGTTAAGGGAAATGGATAAGTTACCTGCAGTAGTTTTTATGTAAGTCATTTAAATTAAGTTATTTTAATTTATGACTTAGATTATTTTCTTTAATTTGAAGTTCTTATATTTTGGTAATTTTATATGATGTAGCATAAACTAGCTTAAAATTGAATGCAATATTAGGGTCTTGGTAAAGTGACACAATAGTATAATTGATTAAGTAGATAACAAGTTATATCCTAGATTAATCTCTGCAATGAAATTTGACATCAAAACAGAATACTTTATTTAATTGAAACAGTTCTAAATACTTTAGGTTTTGGAGCTTATTACAAATAAATCTGTGGTATCTTTCTCATTGGACAAAGGTCAATGAGACTCTACACAAAAGCAGATATGTAATATGAATTATCTAGGACAAAAATCATGTATTATTGAATAGAAATTTGAAGGGATTAAATTATTCACTTTTACTGTTGGGGCAGGGAGAATAAATTTTTTTACCATGCAGTAGACTCACAGATCATCTACTTTGTTTCCAAGCATGGATAAAGATCAAAGTTAGAAACAAATATAGTTTTGTTAATTTCAAGTACTTGGAGTATATATGAAACTCTAACTGCACACAAAAAAATCCAATAATAATGTTTGTAATGCATACACAATACATACTTAAAACATTAAAAATTCCTAAATATTGAAAAATGCCCCAAATATTTAATTCTGTGGAAGGAATTGAATCTTGACAGATTTTTAGGTACTTTCAAATTTTCTACAAACATATTGTGAAGTTCTTGGTCTTTTGCAATTTGATTTATTTCTACATAGTCCCAGATCAGAATTAAATGTGATGATTCATCAAGGCTAACTCAGTACCCCAAAAATCATTTAAAATGATTGTATACCTACCTACCTTCTCTAGTCTGTTTTTTGTGTGTGTGTGTGTGTGTGTGTGTGTGTGTGTGTGTGGTGGGCAGGAGTGGGGTGTGTGTGTGTGTGAAGCCTGTTTCGTGTTTAGTATCAGCTAAGCACATACACGTTAATGGCCAGCCTGCATTCAGATTCTACTCTTGCTCTCTGTTAGCTTTATTACTTTTAAATAGCTTGTTCATTTGAAAAATTAGATGATTAAAATTGTAATCATAATCTTGGGTGAAATTAAATACAAATAAATTATGAAAGCATTTATTATAGAAGCACAAAATAATGGCTGAGTTCCAGTCTTTAGACCACATTTGTTCCATAGAGGGTATCAGAGACATTCAAAAGGAAAAATCGTTTACAAAAGGATAAAAGGAATGTCCCAGAGTCCATCTTCTCTTCCTCCTTAGGGCATAGTTATATAGAAATCATGAAGTATAGGGATACAAAGGTGTAGTTGAACATTAGCATAACAAAAAAGAGATGTAAAGCCTCTCCTTCAGGAGATTAACTCAGGGACAAAATCTCATCTGAAGATTCAGCACTCTAGATTACTAGGAGATCCACTCAAGGGTAGGATTCTATCCAGGTTATATTTCTTTCTCCTTTCCTCGGCTAGTAATCCATTTAAACAGTCATATATAATAAATTTACTTCCTATAAGATTTCTAGCAATGTCCTTTCATATGAGCATAGTAAGAGATATATTAAGCTTAAAGTTTGGCTCTTCCTGAGGATATCTCACTACATATTCCAGACCACAGTCCTCGGGCCCTAACTCAAGCAGGGTCTTTATTCAGTTACTTAGTTTTGGGTCATGACAGAGTTTGTCAATGCCCATGCTCTTAATTTATAGTTAAGTATTATAGCACTTGGACTGGCCCATTTCAATGCCAGGGTATCTCACAGCTTGCCCTGTGTCTATCCAGTCCCTGGTCAGGACACTGCTCTTGGAGTGCTAGGAATTAAGGGCAACTGAGGCTTAAGTCAAATAAATATGGATGCCCAGGAGTAAATATTATTTTGGAGTCAATTAACTCCCATGTTACATAGCTTAACATCAACTGTCTTCCCGTGTCTATACAAAAAGGACATTGCTAAATAAACCATGCAAATGATATAAAAGAAAGAGTAAAACAATATAGGATTATCAGGATTATCAATGCCTGATGGAACTGGGTGTGCCTCAGTTGCACTGTTGTGGGAGTGACTCAACATACCTTAAGTTCCTGTTGGAGGAGCAAGAACAACCAATGTTATCCAACAGGATATTTTTCTCCAAAGACAAAGTACTGTGATACCATTCCATTACTTGTTTCAAAAAGCGATATTGAATAATAATAAATAGACCATGTTTACCCAGAACATGGTAACTTGCATTAATGTAAAAAGAGTAGTAATGTTGTGTCACACAAACTTGGAGACTGGGCTTGAACATTTATAAAAATAGTGAAGTAGGCAGGTGGGAGCAGCTGGCAATGAGCTCTCAGGAAGTAATAAAACAAAGCTGGGATTGGGGTTGGAGTGACAGTACAGTGGGTAGTTCATTGGCTTTTATGTGCCAAATCTAGGTTCCATCCCTACATTCCAGTTAGTTTCCCAGCCATCCTGGAATGATCCCTGAGCTCAAAGCCTGGAATAAACCCTGAGTACCCCTGGTATGGTCTAAAGCCAAAACCAAACCAAATCATAAAGCAAGCCAAAAAACAAACAAACAAACACATAGATGGGAATTGGAAGAAATTTCTCTGTCACTAGGCCAAATGTACAAAAGTAGCAAAAAGTATAATGACTAAATTCATTTTGTGGACAAAGAACTTAGTACTAATAAGACTTAACTGGTGTCAGCACAGGATCAGAGAAGGCCGGACACCCCCTTTTCTGGCCCTGCCTTTTTCCAGCAGGAACAAAGGGTTGTGATAAAAACATGAAGGTAGATACCAGAAACCATAAACTCTTCCTCTTGCCAACACCCAACACCTCAGCAGTGGATTTATCTAAAATTCCATGATTACCACTGCATAGGACTAAATTCTGAGGCACATCATCCTAACAGTGGTAGCTAATAATGAAATAGCTGACTCTGAAGATCTGTGAGTTCCTTCAGAAAAAAATTCAAAACTAAAACACAAGAATTTGTCAGGTTGAAAGTAGTAGATGAATGTATGACTGAATTTTATATTATTTTCAAACAAACATTCTTTTCTCTATTTTTTAGGTTTAGATTAGATTTTGTAGAAGATAGTGCAAATGAGTTGCGTGAATATTTGGAGAAAAAACAGGAGGAAAAATGCTCTCCCAAAGCTGATAAGGAAGTATATGATGTGACTAACAAACTTCAAAAAGTGAAAAAATCAATTGAGAAACAAAAGGCAATGTAAGTATTTATCTAAACAAATTGCTGTTTTAAAGCAAACTAAAAATATTTCAGTTTTTAGTGGGAAACAAAAATTGAATGAGCTGTAAAGTAGTTTTAGTTAGTGCTTGGTTTGCTTTGCAAATAGGTCCAAAGAATGGAGCAAAGGTAAGTGGCTGTAATATTTATATTATTACTTGTATCGATGAATGTCATTAAGGGTATGGAGAGGATTGGTAAGCCTAAAAGCATGGGTAGATTATACTACAGATATAATCAGGATATGTACATCTTCAACAAATATATGATTCTGTATTTCAAGTTGAAGCTAGAAGATTATTAGCACTAGTATTTTTTAAAATATTAATATTTTTTAAAATAGTGAGTATGGGTATATGAACCTTTTTTATTCTAAATGGACTCACTGGTGTTCTGGGCCAGCTACCATTGTTTACCTTTCCTTATTAGCTACCTTTGTACCTCAGACCTTAGTCGTGGGTTATGTAATGATAACCAGTAGAAACCAAGGGTATGCCAAGGAGGCTACAATGATAACCCAGGATATGCCAAGAAAGCCTCAGGTGAAATGGTATATATTCATGTTCATGGATTGGAAGAAGTTCAATGACTACCCCACCTAAATTTTTTTATAGATTCAATGCAATCCCCAACAAAATCCAGATGACATTCTTCAAGAAGGATGGTCACTAATAAAATTTGCATGGAACACCCCAGATAGTCAAAACAATTCTGAGAAATAAGAAAATGGGAAGTATTGTGTTTCCTGACTTGAAACTATCCGATAAAGCTTATAGTAGTCAAAACGCATAGTACTGGAATAAGGATAAACTGTTAGACCAATAGCTTAGAACTGAATATCCAATGACAAACTCTCAGATATATGTTTGCCAGGTTCATGAAGTGGAATAAAGATAGTACTGTCACCAAATGGTGCTGGAGAAAGTGAATATTTACATGCAAAAAAAAAAACAAAACAAACAATGGATCCCTTCACATCTTACCCAAAAGTCATTTCAAAGCAGATCAAACACCTTGACATTAGACCAGATTCCATAAGACACTTTGAGGAAAATATAGCCAGAGCACTCCAGGATTTAGATTTCAAAAATGTCTTCAATAGTATGATTCCATTGGCAAAGACAAGAAAAAAAATGAGACTTCATCAAATTTAAGAGTGTCTGTAGGGTAAAAGAAATATGGACTAAAATTAAAGGGCACCTTATGACTGGGAGAAAATATTTGCAAATAATACATTAGATAAAGGTTTACTATCCAAGATATATAAAGCACTCACAAAGATCAACATCAATAAATCCAATACCCCACACCCAAAATGGGGAGAGCAAACGAACAGACACTTTTGAGAGGAAGAGAGATAGGCTGTAGGGACCTAAAAGAAAGTGAGGGAAGCAAAAGAGGTAAGATGACCAAGGTATTGAAGTATGTCAATTTGTCAGCATAGTACTTGAACCTGCTCTGACAAGCCTAGAGGGCACTACAAAGTATCTCAACTTGAGGGAAAGTGATGTATTTTTTCTGTTTCCTATTAGTCAGTTGACTGCTGGTCATGTTCCTCTTCTCAGGAGAGATCATTATATGACACACATTTGAAGGAGGCTGGTGTAAGTGGAAGGCTGGTTTAAGTCCAGGAAATGGTGAAACCAAGAGCCCCTAGCAAATAAAACCAGACTCAAAATTATCGCACCACTATATGGAGAGACACAGAGAGAATGATCTGGAATTAGATTATAAAAGCAAAGAGACATAACTTACCTCCTAGCTAAGTGTCATGGAGACTGGGGGAGGGGGACGGGGAATGGGTTACTTTGGAAAAGGCTGATGTTTTAGCATGGGGAAGCAGAAGCATCTGGGAAATGGATTTGACATGTCGGCTACTTATAGTAAAGAGGGGAAGGAACATTCAGAGAAGATCGAATGAGTACATAGAATTTTCGTATAAGTAACCACAAGTTCCAGAGTTCCACATTATTTGCTGTGCCAAATACTGAAGCACATTTGAGGAAGATTGTGTCTGGAGGGTACAGATGTATATCAAAGTGATGGTCTGGGATAGGCAGGGTATCTGGGAAAATTTCCACACTGCCAAATATGATCACTTGTTACCTAAATTTTATTTTTATAAACAGAGAGGAAAGAAGTAAGAAAAAGCCCAGAGAAATGAATCAAAGCTTCATACGTGAAGCTCAACATAATAATCTACTCAAGATTCTAGAGAAGAACCTGGCGATTCCTCAAGATTGCACATACGCTGATCAAAAAGCATCTGTGGATACTGAGGTTTGATTTGAACATAGAAAAAAGCACTTATCCCAGAAATGATTTCATTGCCATGCATCTTAGTTATAGAATGTGTTGAATGTAATAACAACATGCATGCTACCAAAATATATAACTTTGTGTATATCCTTTTGTCTAACTACACATAACTCTAGAGAAACTGCAGGAAATGTCTGGAAAGGACAGGATTCATATTTATAGATAATTTCTGGCTTTCTGGACAACAACCCCAAAAGTTGAAAGGATCTGCCTTTTCATTATTTCTTTCTCTTAACAGTTTCTCATAGTCTGACTTCAAACTCAAGGTTCCAATTTGGACACACATTGACCCTTGCACTATAAATTTATCAAAACCAATTTATCAAAACCAGACACTTTTATAGGGTATAGTCAACCCACTGTAGTACTGTAGCACTGTCCTCCCATTGCTCATCGATTTGCTTGAGTGGGCACCAGTAACGTCTCCATTGTGAGACTTGTTGTTACTGTTTTTAGCATATCGAATATAACACAGGGAGCTTGCCAGGCTCTGCCATGTGGGCAGGATACTCTTGGTAGCTTATGCGGTTCTCTGAGAGGGATGGAGCAATTGAACCCAGGTTGGCTGTGTGCAAGGCAAATGTCCTACCTGCTGTGCTATTGCTCCAGCCCATAGTAGCGATAGTCAACCCATTTTACTAAAAAAACCACTGAAATATCTAAAATTGATATGCTATTTTTAAATACAAATACCTTTTATTTCATACAAATCTGAAAATATAAATTGGTAATACAACAAATTGGTTATACAAGAAGCAATGCTGTCATCACTCAGAAGTAATCATTGCCCTTCTGGAATGTGATATCTTTTTTATTTGTGACTATGCACACACAGACACACACATAGGTGGGGATGTATGTAGTATATATAATTAATATATAAACATATCTGTACATATACAAAACTATTATGCACATTTAAAAAATTTACTGCATTATCTCTTCTCTTTTGAAAATTGTGAATTTATAAAAATCCTTGTAATGGACTCTTGTTATTTCATCATATGCATGAATATACAACTATAGTGTTTTTTTGGTTGTGGATACTTAGACTTGCTTTTTTTTCCTCTCTCGTAAGCAGTATTTACCTTCATACAACATTGTATAAAAATGGATTTTCTTTGTAGGTTATAATCACTTAATTTTTTTTATTGAATCACTGTAAGATACAGTTACAAAGCTTTTATGTTTGAGTTTCAGTCATACAATGATCGAACACCCAGCCCTCCACCAGTGCACATTTTCCATTATTTTATCTCTTTTATCTGTGACTGTGTTATGGAAAATTTCTCCATTTTCCGCCAATGTCCCCAGTATCTTCCCCCACCATTCCACTCCTCCCCTTGCCTCTATGGAAGACAATTTCCCCCAGTCTCTCTCTCTCTCTCTGTCTCTCTCTACTTTTGGACATTATCTTTTACAATACAGATATTGAGAGGCTATTATGTTTGGTCCTTTATCTACTTTCAGCACACATCTCCCATCCTGAATGATCCCTCCTACCATCATCGACTTAGTAATCCCTTTTCTATTCCAGTTTCCTTCTCCCCCAGCTCATGAGGCAGGCTTCCAACCAGGGAGCAATATTCCTGGCCCTTATCTCTACTGTCCTTGGGTATCAGGCTCATACTATGTTATTTTATATTCCAAAAATGAGTGCAGTCATTCTATATCTGTCCCTATCTTTCTGACTCATTTCACTTAGTATGATACTCTCCAGGACTAGGTTATAATTGCCTCAGAAGCATTTTCTGAGAACATGGAGCAGGGACCCTGATCTATCTTTATGCCTATATCCCTCTCTTCTGGGGGAAACTTTAAGGCTCCTGTAGAAAGCTAACCTCCCTTGAGCAGAAATTTGCTGTGCCTTACAGCTCCCTGCTTCTGGGTGCTCATCTCCTGCTTTGTAAGTCTTTTTCACCCATCCAGTGGATCAAAGCACATATGTTCAGTCTGTGAAGAGACAGTCTGTTAAGAGAAATGGGACATTTCTGACAGTTACTATTGCTTTCCTAAAATGTCCTGTAGAGTCCAATTCAAGCAGTTGCTTCATTCACCAAATAATTACACAGTATCCCTGCTATTTTTATTTGAACATTTTAATTTTCATTTATTAAAATTGGATAAGAACCCTGTGACTCTTGCTCTTTTAGTCTTTGGAGATGGTGGTAAGACGAGTAAGATTCTCAAGAAAAGGTGAAGAATTAAAAGCTTTAGCAAAACGGGGTATTGGCTATCACCACAGAGCTATGGATGCCAAAGAAAAACAGCTTGTTGAGATTCTGTTTAGAAAAGGGTATATCAAGGTATGTTATTTGTTTATTTTTATTCTAAAATTGAAACTATGTCTACCTGAAGCTAAATGCCAAACAAAGTGGAAAGTCGGACGAGGAGAGTTAGTACAGTGTATGCAGGCAACCCTGGTTCAATCCCGTTCACTTCCCTGAGACCCACCAGGATTGATCCCTGAGCATAGAGCCAGGAGTAATCCCTGAACACCGTTAGTGTGGCCCAAGAACAATAATAACAACAAAAAGAGTGGAAAGTCTACCACCTTTTTCCCTCTCACTGGGTATATTTTTCTTTTCATTCTTCCATTTGTTTTAGCAATCCAAGATGTATCTTCATATATTCTATTTCATTTAGTTGTGGGAAAAGGCTTGAATTTTCATCATTTAGCTTCTCCTTTAGATGAGATTTAAATAGATAATTTTCTCAATATTTTTGGGCTGGAGCGATAGCACAGCGGGTAGGGCGTTCGCCTTACAAGCGGCCAACATGGCCGACCCGAGTTCGATTCCTCCGCCCCTCTCGGAGAGCCCGGCAAGCTACCGAGAGTATTCGATATGCCAGACACAGTAACAACAAAGTCTCCAATGGAGACGTTACTGGGCCCGCTCGAGCAAATCGACGATCAACGGGAGGGCCTTTACCTCAATATTTTTATAGTAATATATGTTTAATTATCTTCAGACAGCCTTGATTTTTCATTTGAAATAAGAGCATTTGTTTTTTGTTGCTCATATACTTTTGGCTACAGACATTCTTTTATAGACACATAGGGTACTTGTGCTAGTATTTTGCTCCTAACTTTGAATGTAATCTGAAAAAATGTAAGAACATATCATTACTTGGTGCCATTTCATGTTGAAGGAGAAAAAGTTTTTGGATGTTCTTTTTCTAATTGCTCATCGTGGACAAGAACAGAACATTACCTTTAAAATGCTAGCAAGCCAGTCCTTGTTATGTTCTATTGTTTTAAATGTAATTTATTTACTTATTTATTTTTTGTGCCACACCCAGTTGTGCTCAGACCTAATTCTGGATCTGCACTCAGTCATCACTCCTGGTGGGACTTGGGAAATTTATGGGGTTCCCGGGATTGCCCCTGGGTTACTGTGTGCAAGCCAAGTGCCATACTGTACTAGTATTCCAGCCTTAGTTTTATTGTTTTTTAATTCCTATGATGATTCTGCAGGGTCAAACCTAAGATTTCAAGTGTGGAAGACACTTGATCTACAAGTGAGTTACAGGCCTAGCCCATTTTGTGTGTTTTAATATTTTAAAAATGTTAAGGAAATATAACACACTAATTGAAGAATAGTTATTTTATCTGGAAAAGAACAAAAACCGTCACTAAAAACATTTCTTGGTTTTTATTTTAATTAAATTTTGTAAAAAAATTTAAATGCCAATAACTAGAGACTATTTTTTTCATGATCTATAAATTGAGAGAAGGCAGTGCATTTCTTTTGTTTAGCCTGTACTTTTTCTTCCTGTATTTGTCAAGCAGGTGTTGCTTCATTACTATCTAATAAATGAACAGTAGACTTCTAAAAATATGATTGTTTTGCTATTGATATCATTTTGTAAACATTTATTCTAGTTAGTCTAAATTTTGTCAAGTTTTTGTTCTTTTTTTTTTATATGGGGAGTGCACATACAGCAGTGTTTAGGCTTATTCCTGGCTCTGTGCTCAGTCCTCACTCCTGCCAGTTCTTAGAGGACCATATTTGACACAAGAGATTGACCTGGTTCTATTGCTTGCAAGGCAACACATAACCGATGAACTATCTCTCTAGCTCTATGTTGCATTTTTTGATATGTAGATTTCAGTTGTAGAATAGAAAGATTATCTAAATGCTATATTAATTATGGAATTCAATGCAACATGACAATTTCTTTTTCTTTGACAGTCATTTAAATATGTATGCTATATAACACAGACACAAATACAAATATACCCCCCATATGTATATGTATCACTGTATCTCTGTATCACTGTAATCCCGTTGTTCATCGATTTGCTAGAGTGGTGCCAGTAACATCTCCATTCGTGCCAGCCTTGAGATTTTAACAGCCTCTCCTTACTTGTCCTTCCCAATGGTGCCGTATTGGAGACTTTTTCAGGGTCAGGGGAGTGAGACTCATTATTGTTACTTTTTTTGGCATATCAAATATGCCACGGGGAGCTTGCCAGGCTCTGCCAATGTATATGTATGTATGTATATACATATATATTTATTTATATTTATATATGCACTGTAGCACTGTCCTCCCATTGTTTATCGATTTGCTTGAGCGGGCCCAGTAATGTCTCCATTGTGAGACTTGTTACTGTGTTTGGCATATCAAATACACCACGGGGAGCTTGCCAGGATCTGCTGGATTTATATATAGGCAAGGGTAAATAATTTAAGCAAGTCTTAAGAATTCACCCATCCCCTTTTCTGGTTAGATAGCATTGCTATAAGAGAAAAATTTTATTTTTCTTTTAGTTCTAGCTCTTTTATCTCCATAAATATAACCTTCTATCCATAAAATAATTTATAGTGGGTGAAGGAGGCATTGCCCAGAGGGATTTGTTAAAAGATTATTCTCTCATAAGTAAATTTTCTTTTTGATTATTTATTTAGGAAGTTTTACTAAACATGTTTCATTGCTAGGCACTATTCTCAGTGCTTGGAATCTACTAGTGAATAAGGCTTGGAGTCTTGAATAGAAGTCAGCAAGCTAGCAACAGTACTTTTGGAGGTAATTGATTCTATGAAATGAGACAGAATAGGAAGAAAAACTAAGAAAATTAGGGATGTTTAGTTTAGATGTGGTGGTCCAGAAATTTTCCTTTGACATTTGAACAGAGAACTAAATAAGGAGGTTAACAAATATTTGTGAAAAGTGTATTCAGAAGTGGCCCTTCATTTTGGGAATGTGCTTGATGTGACTGAAATAGCAAGATTCCCGACACGGCTGGGAACTCTGGCTCTCTCTCTGGGATTTAGTTTACCTTAAAGAAGTCTTAATAAGTATATGATATTTTATAGAGAAATTATTTTAAAATTTAATTGTTTTGTTCTTTTCCAGGTAGTGACAGCTACAGGGACACTTGCTTTAGGAATCAACATGCCTTGTAAATCTGTGGTTTTTGCCCACAATTCAATATATCTGGATGCTTTAAACTATAGACAGGTATTGCAATACATAAGTATAAACTTGTGATGGAATTACAAACGTGCTCATAAAATAATTAAAATAATTTTTAGCTTGTAAACAGTATTGTTCATGTTCATGATCTAGCACACTGTGATATTCATTGGTACTATCATATTTTATTTTGAGTGGTAGGCACACGAGTTTGGGAATATGTGATTATCACAAGCCAGATGTACAAACATGACTGGGTATCTAAACTTACTGATTCTTCTTCTTAACTCCAGAATAGGAATCATAATTGCTATCACATAACATTTGCAAGAATTAATTGAAGTGATTTGTAAAAAAAAGATACACATGGAAGATGGCCTATAAACAATTAGTTGTTTCCTATTATTTTATGTCATCTTTATTGCATCTGTTCTTTTGATACACAATCTATTACTAATCTCCTTTTGTAGTGGTTTTTGGCTTGTGTTTAACAGTTTCTGTTTCTATTACCTGTGATTCCAGCTTTTAAGTCTTATAGTTATAAAACAGTCACAGTGTTTCTCTCTCTTTACTCACATCAAGCAGATTTTATAATTGATCTTTTTATATTTTTCCTGCTTTGGAACATTTGATAAAAGTCTCTGTTAGTGAATTGTGTTTCACCAACATTGACTTATAATAATATATTTTTTAATCAAAGAATTTCCTTCCTGTATCTATACACTCAGTTTTTAAGTTCTTATTTCTTCAGAAGCCAAGTTTTCTTCCAATATTCTTATGATTAAGTGCTACTTTCTCAATCATTTAATTTTTTTTCTCTTTATAGTGCTATCCTCTAGATAAACTTTCTGTTCATGTAATCTTCACTAATTTTATATTGAGGTGTTACACTATTTCTCTTGATGGATTTGGGAGATGAAATGTTAGAATTTATATCCTGGATCTTCCATGATCTGTTACAGTCCTATGCTCTAATTTCCACATTGTAAAATGAGACTTATCAATTTATTTACTGCATGCATGTTATTTTATGTAAGTAGAAAAATTAAAATAGAAAACAACTAACATTCTGAAAGCCTAATAAATGAAACTAACTTACCTTCTTATCTTGCATTATGAATAGAGTTTTACATTTCATCTCATGTATTTTCTTAAATTGTGAACTTCTTACAGTTATTTTACTCTTACACTCTAACTATATGTGAGAGACAGCAGGGACAGGAAGGGAGGGAGGAATTGAGAGAGAATTGCTGAGGTAAATTCAGGTTTAAGAGAACTTAAAATTAAGTCCCGACTTCTTGTTCTTTGTTTTTCCTATATATTATTACATAAACTCGGGGGACAAATTTGAGTATGAGCTAATTTTATATGGATGGCAAATACTTTACTTGCATCTCTGTTTCAACCATAGTACATTGCCTAATTTCTATATAATTGAGATTTGATTCATTCTTTAATAGATACACTCAAAATTTAGCTTCTGAAGTTCAAGGTAAAAGACTAAGATCTTTTACTGTGATGAAAAAACACATTAGGGAAGTTTCACTTTGTGGTTCTTGTCCTGTTTTCAGATGTCTGGACGTGCTGGAAGACGGGGCCAAGACCTGCATGGAGATGTTTTTTTCTTAAATATTCCATTTTCCAAAATAGAAAAACTCATAAAATCTAAAGTCCCTGAACTGAAAGGGCAGTTTCCCTTCAACATAAGTCTGGTCCTGCGACTCATGCTCCTGACTTCCCGGGGTGATGATCCAGAGGATGCCAAGGCCAAGGTATGTCCTGCCCAGTGTCACAGACTGAACCCTCACTACTGACCTGCCTGTATTTTTTTGGTTAGATATTTGCTTTGTTTAGAATTAGTAGCATTAACTCTGTTGTTTTTCTCTTGTTATTGTGGTGGAATATATAAAACATTTAATTTTACCTTTTTAATAACTTTTTCTCTTTATCCAAAATTTATATTTTATCCAAAGTTTATATTTTTATCATTGCCATCTGAGATTCAATATTACATGGCATTTGAACTCAAAACTTTTTCTGGGTTCCATATTTTCATTTTATGTGACAGAACATATTACATTTGTCTTCCACATCACGGACAACTCTCCAAGCTTTGTGTTCTATCTTAGTAACACAGATGTGGACTGAATTCATCCACTGGACTTAAGTTTTCCAAAATTCTTTCTTTCACCGCTTCCCTTTCCTTAGTTGCCTGGTGGTTGCTCACATGCCTGGTCATGGTGTCTGTACACCCAGCTGTGGTGTGTGCTGGCTGCTCCACTTTCTCCCTTGTGTGATGTGTGCATATTCTGGCTGCAGTCCTTGCTGGAGGTCACTCACTGGTTACAGTATTTACATGTGTGTTCCTTGTATGTTGCTCTTTTGGCCATAGCCTTTGCACATCTCTCTGTCTCTCTCTCTCTCTCTCTTATCGAATCACCATGAGATAGAGCATTACAAAATTGTTCATGATTGCATTTCAGTCATATAACGTTCCAACACCCATCTCTCCACCAGTGTAATTTCCCAGCACCGGTGTCTCCAGTTTCCCTCCCACTCCTTCAAGTGATCCTCCACCCGATCACTTCACCTCCTTTCAGCACTTGATCCTGGTCCAGAGTGACCTCTTCTCGTCTCTCTCTCTCTCTGATTCTCTCTCTCTCTTTTTTCTCTGTCTCTCATTTTAGACATTATGGTTTGCGATGAAGATGCTTAAAGGTTATCATGTATATCCCTAACCAGCTTTTAAGACTTAGTTCTTGTCCAGAATGACTATTTCCAATTAGTATTGTCATAATGGACCCTTCTCTATCTACTACCCTCCATCTCCCACACAATTGACCAACCACTGACCAGTTCTCCTGGTCCATTTTCCTTGGCATTGGGTATTAATGTATAATGTTTTGTTTTGTTTTTATAACTCACAAACAAATGCAGACATTCTATATTTATCCCCTTCTTTCTGACTCATTTCACTCAGCATGATACTCTCCAAGTGTATCCATTTATAGGCAAATTTCATGACCTCATTTTCCCTAACAGCTGTGTAGTATTCCATTGTGTAGAGCACATCTCTTTTTATAGTTGCAGTTTTCACTGGTATTTGCACCACATTAACAGGTGCTCACACATACATGGTTGTAGGGTGGCTGGAAATTGTCTGTGGTGTCAGGGAGCACAGATAAGAGATTTCAGGCTCGTGCTCCCTTCAAGCTGTGACCCTGAGGATGGAATGACAGCCTTGGGCTTGCAGGAAAGGGCCCTACTCACTGAGCTACCACTTGGCCCCCTAGTTGTCTGAAAATTTTCATACTGAGCATATCACTCTTTCATTTTACACCAATGTGTTACTGTTTAAATGTGAATGTTAATTGCCCGTTTGCTTTGTACTATTGTATTTTGTTTCATAAAGTTTATATAACTTTTGCCCTCTGTGAATAGATTTTTTCTGTGAATAGATTCTCCCAACAAACTTAAGACCTGAAAGTCGATAAACTTACATTTTAGTGACATTAGGAAGCCTTCCTTTTATTAAATCCTCATAGACATTTTAGCGGACTTTTTAAAAAAATACAAGAACTGGTACATCAGTGCTATTTTACAATGGAATTGTTATTTTTTTTAATTGAATCACAATGAATTACAAAATAACAAAGTAACAAAGTTACTCATGATTCAGATTTTAGTTTTAGGTGTACAATGTTCTAGCACAAATTATTTCACCTGTGTTTACTTCCTTCCAACAATGTCCCCAGTGTCCCTCCTGCCTCCCAAACAGCCTATACAACAGCCCCTTTGTTCTTTCTCTTTTTTTCTACTGTCACTGTGGTTTACAGTCTTGTTGAGAGGGTGCATCTCACTTTACCTGCTTTCAGCATTTGATCCTGGTCCAGAGTGACCACTTCCCTCTATCATTGTCATAATGGTCCCTTCCCTCTCCTATCACCTTGCTTCCACTGTGCCAAACTTCCTACTAAAGATTAGTTTTATTCCCCTTTGTTTCTTCTGGATTTGGACATTAGTTACAAAGAAATGATTTTACACTTAGTTTTGATCAAACTAGTTCCATTATTTTTGCAATAATACTGTTGACCAATAATATAGTAATAATAATAATAACAAATATTGTATTTTCTTCCAAAGCAACCCACTAGTGATAGACAATGAAACTAGACTCACATGTTACTAGGTTGTTTTCATAAAATATTTCTTTTGTGGGGGCACTTTGAACCCGTACTCAGGAGCCCTCAGGCTCCACCAGTGATTCTCAGCCAACTGGGCTGGTGGGTCAGTGCAGAGGTCTGAGAAAGTGATGCTGCTTTGGCCTAGTGATGTGGGGTCCTCCAGAGTTTCGTTTACTGGAGTTCAGAGACCTCCTGACAGCTTCCTGCAATGCTCAGAGAACAACGTGTGCCCAGAACTGAGCCTGGGTTAGGAACATTCTAGGCATGCATCCTAAGCACTTTCTCCTGGCCCCCAAATGTTTTATTTCTAATGAATCTGTTCTACATAATTGAGAAGAACATACAAAAACTGATAAATCTAAATTATTGCTTGTATCTATTTCATACAATATTTATGGACAATATCATGTGCGATAGATTCTACTATATGATGGACAGGCAGATATGTTGATGTGAGGAGACAGAGGTGAGGTCTAGGAAAGCAAAACTTCTGCTCTTAGGTCCTGAAAATAGAAGACAAGGAGTACCACACAGGGCCATACGGGAGACACACTGGCATCAGCAGGAGGCACAAGACTGCTGCTCAAAGGTTGGGTTTTGGGCAGGTTCTTTACCAGGCTCTCTACTGGAAAAAATGAAGACAGGAAGTTTAAACAGCTTTGTATTGGCTAGTCTGAATAATTCCAGTGAGCTGTGGGATTTACAGGTGGTCTGTAGTTCCCTGGTACATATCTGTCTCTGGGATGATTTGTGATGGAGACAATTACTGGCTTGGTGTGAGAGGTTTGGAAGCAATGGGGACTAGAAACCTAAACAGTTGTTTTGCATATGATAGGCAGGGTCCTGAGCAAGCTGTGATCTTGTGATGAACTTTAGGAATTCGCATGGAAAGGGCAGTCTCCCAATAGCCAGAAAGTTTTTATTAAATATGTCAAAACATCATAAAATAGAAAATTAAAAAGTAAGTTCTATGCAACTGTATTATATTATTTAAAATATATTTCCTAAACACTATAAATATGCGAATAACTACTGTTCTTTATAGGTGCTATCAGTGCTAAAGCATCCATTGATAACATTCAAGAAACCCAAATTTCAGAACATGTTAAAGCTTTACTTCTTGTTTTCCTTGCAGTTCTTAGTGAAAGAGGTATGTGTGTGTTATAGATATTGCTATATTTTGTGGGTTTTGGTGAAATATGGTTAGTAATATCTATTTCATATCAGACCGAGGCATTTGTAGTCTTTTGGGGGTTATACTCAATAATTACTATTATTAATAACTGATTCACTTGTCAAAATGACCATATTTTATTTTCAATGTCTATTATGTTGGTATTACATATTACTTAAACTGTCATTCAATGAATTTTAAATTAATATACATGACGAGTTGCATCATCTCACTGATAAACTATTTCTTGGACTTTAGGGGTATTTAGATCAAGAAGGCAATCCAATGGGATTTGCTGGATTGGTTTCACACTTGCATTATCATGAGCCTTCAAATCTTGTTTTTGTCCATTTTTTGGTAAGAGGACTTTTTCATAATCTCTGTCAGCCAACCATAAAAGGTAAACCGAATGTTTTGTGTTTATAGTCTAAAAATAGCAATAGACTAATATGAAACTAAGCCCTACAGAAATATATTACCTTCAGAGAAAAGTTATTATTTAGATAGTTTAGAAATTCCAAGCTAGATACACTTAAGTATAATATATTGGATTATATGAGAAGCAATCATATTTTGTGGGCTGATTTGAAAATGTCCACATTGGAGATGCAATTAGATTTTTGAGTACATAAGAGACATGAACCCAGAGGAACCCAGGAATGCAGGACCCGGGGCTGAGATCTCCAAGCCTGCTCAGATTGGGACTGGGCCTCCTCCACCCACATCCCCCATTTTCCAGTAGCTCGGCAGTCGCACCCACAAACTGCTCCCCTCAACCCCCCCCGCACCCCCAACCATGTAATCCCATCAACGGCCAAGATTCAGAGACTATAAAACAAAGCTCCTGGAAGTGCGCTGCCGCATTCGCGGCTGCACAACCTCTTATAGTCTAGCCCATTAGGCTGCACAACCTCTTATAGTCTAGCCCATTAATGTACCTAGAGCAGCAGACATGTGTTTGCTTTTAACATATTTGTTTGTATTCTCTTATATACATCTCCATCCCTCTTGGAGAGCCCGGCAAGCTACCAAGAGTATCCCTCCCCCATGGCAGAGCCTGGCAAGCTCCCTGTGGCATATTCAATATGCCAAAAACAGTAACAATAATGGATCTCATTCCCCTGACCCTGAAAGAGCCTCCAATATGGCACCATTGGGAAGGACGAGTAAGGAGAGGCTGCTAAAGTCTCAGGGCTGGAACAAATAGAGACGTTACTGGAGCCCACTTGAACAAATCGATGAATAACAAGATGACAGTATACAGTGATACAATGAAGAGACATGATCATAAAACACTTTAGAGAAAGTTTATCCACTTCCCATGAGGGAAGCCTTCTGGCTCGAAGAGACAGTCTCTGCTTAGGGTCAAAATGGAGGAGAATGGAGACAGTTCAGTGTAGTTTGGTGTGAGGTTACTAGTATTTTGATGGTATATTTGATTGTGGTAATAGACATCTGAAAAGTTATAAGTATATTTGTAAAAAAATTATCACTACAGTTTTTCAAAAGGCAAGGATGTATAATGTAAACATAAGTCATCCTAAGTTGCTTTATTTGTCACAAACTTTTGGTTTTCATGAAGTGAAATACAGAGCTTAATTTGTAAACATTTCTATGAGAGAAGCACAAATTATGAAATTAACTGCAGCATACATTGTTTTGCATAGGCACAAAATCTTTTTCTCAAGATATCATGGAAAAGCTGGTCTTAGTATTGTGCCATCTGTTTGGAAGACACTATCTCCCAGCAAAGTTTCGAGAGGGTGATCACAAGTTTTTTCAATCAAAGGTAACATTTTTTTTTTATTCTTAATAGGATAATAGTTTGTTCTCTATGTAATTTAGGTTATTTTCATCTGCAATTTAAATTTTATCAAATGGATAAATGCTTATAAGAATATACAATTACAATTTTCTTCTCAAGTTTTCTATTTGATTCTTTAAAATTCTAGAATTAAGCAATTAAAAAAATTTTGAGATAATTATAGGGGCCAGAGCAGTAGTACAGTGGATAGGGTTCTTGCTTTGCAGTGGCTGACCTGGGGTTGATCCCTGGGACCTCATATGGTACCCCAAGCATCACCAGGAGTGATCACCTAGTGCAAAGCCAGGACTAAGCGATGCTTATCACCTATTGTTTCCCCAAATTAAAAAGAGAATTGAGTTAATTTTACATTAGAGTAAGTAATAGCCCCCATCACTGAATCTACAATTCATTTAGGATCTCTTGTTGTCTAATATCATGGTGTCTTAAAATAGTCTTAATTTCTTTTTTTTGCATTGTTGCTATAGTAACAGTAACAGTGGTGAGTTACAACATCCTTGTCTTATTCCTGATGATAAAGAAAAAATTTTCATTTTTTCCAATTATGATGCAAGCTAAAAAAATTAAGGTCCTAGAAATCAAATTAATAAAGAAGTTGAAATATATAGTTCAAAAAAAGTGAATCATTATTTTAAAAATATTGGACACAATGAAATAGGAAAATAATTCATGTTTATTGATGTGAAGAATTGATACTTGTGAAATAAACATCCTATGTAAAGCATACAAGTTTTATGCAATTACTATTACAATTCTTATGGTATTTTAAGGACACAGAAAAATTACTACTAAAGTAACCCACGGTCCTAGATAGATAAAGTAATCTGACAAAAATGAATATGGGAAACATCACAGTTCTTGACTTTAAACTATATAAAAATCTATAAATATCAAAACAGCATGGTGCAGAGTAAACAGACATTCAGACATGGAAGAGTTTTGAGAACCAAAAAGATAAACTATCCTATATACATGCAGCAACATAGGAGCTGGAAATCTGATCGTGAACAGCTTTGTAATTGTGTATCTTACAATGATTCAATATTTAGAAAAAGAAGAGGGAGGCATCTTTAAAAAAAGCTGCTTAGCCACATTGTTTGTGTGCACACACGTTCACTGCATGAGACTTTCTCTCTCTCTCTTTCTCTCTCTCGTGTGTGTGTGTGTGTGTGTGTGTGTGTGTGTGTGTGTAATTTGGACCACTGTACATAAGGTTTAACTCAAAATGGATTAAAGTCATAAATTTAGACCCGAGTCTAAAAAAATATATCAAAAGTATAGTCCTGTGATATTGGCTTTAGAATTTTCTTCAGTAATTTAGCTCTATTGCAAAGGAAAACAAAACAAATTGTATTACCTCAAAATAGAAAACTTTTGCAATGTGAAAGAAACCATTACTAAAACAAAAAAAGACATCCTACTGAATGGGACAAAATGTATTCTCCACACCATACTTCTTACATTGTGATAATATTTAAGAGACACATAACAGTCACAAAATCCAACAAAAGCAATAATTAAAAACATCAAAAATGTGAAGAAAAGCTGAACTTCTCCAAAAATGAAATATAGAAAGACCAAGACCAAGTGAAAAATATTCTTCATTTGTATCTAGAGGCTATACTCTTAGCTGTTTACCCAGAGAACACAGAGATATTAATATGAAAAGACATAGGAACACTTATATAGGTTCATTGCAGTAATATTTGTAGTAGCCAAGATCTGGAAACAACTAAGTAAGTAATTACAGATGAATGGATAAAGAAGTTTTTGTGGGGCCAGGGAGATAGTACAGTGAGTAGGATATTTGCATTGTATGTGGCTGACTTGGGTTCAGTACCTGACAGCCCATATGATCACCTGAGTAAAGACAGGAATGACCCCTAAGTGCAGAGCTTGGAGTAACCCCTGAGAGCATGGCTGGGTTTGGTCCAAAAATAAATGCCAAAAAAGTTGTGACATTTATACATAATGGACTTCTATTAGAAAAGATGAAGTGTTTTCTTTTGGGGTGTCATGCTAAGTGAAATAAGGTAGAAGGAGAAAGACAGGTAATGGAATGGTTTCATTCATAGACAAAACAAAGAAAGGAATAGATTAATACAAGGGAAAAAGATCCTAAAATGGAGTCAACAGGCCTAAGTTTATATAAAGGGGTTGGAGTGGAAGGAAAGAGATCTCTGGATTGTGGTGCAAGCATATTGGCATTTTGGTATTGGGTGTGGTGTGGTAGCATAATTAACACCCCTAAAACATGGAACAGTTAGTCCCTTGCAAATCACTGTTACTTAAATTAAAAACCTTAATATGAGAGATGATATAATCTTGTGACTAAAAATATCTTTCAAAACATAAATGAGTTTTATTTGAATTTAATAGATGAATAAATGAAACATTCATATCTTGCATATATAGATAACTATAGAAGAATTATATTATTTTTAAAATCTTTCTCACAGTTTTGGTTTGATAAGAAAGTATGTGGATTCTAGCAAACAAAATTTTTGTTTTTTGGATGTCCTTTATTACTTAGGTTTTCCTGGAAGATCTCCCTGAGGATTTTAATGCTGCTTTAGAAGAGTATAACAATAATGTTACAAAGGATTTTGCCTCCTTTCTACTAATTGTTTCCACATTAGCTGATATGAAGCAGGAATATCAACTTCCATTGTCAAAAATAGGCAAGTGAAGTTTTGCTCCATTGTAAGTAAATGTAAAGAATAAATAATCTTGCCTATAAATATCTTAGAAGATTCAATTCATTAAAAGATGGGAACATCCAGGACTAAGAAGACACCTTCACTTTCCAAAAAAAACGAAATTGTGATTATTAGAAATTAAGGAATAAGGAAAGAGTTTCCAACACAAGTGCAAGAGGAAAGTAACCTTATACTTCCTGTCAGAGAGACAGCAACCCAGATTAAATGGGGGGATACAGGAGACAAGTAAAGCATGTGTGCAGTGCAGAGACTTTGTAAGCAGAAAGAGCTTATTTTATTCCAGAGAAGTATCTAAAACAATTGAATTTAAAAAGTAAATAAAAGGTCAAGAGAAACTGTGTATCTCATGGTGATTAATAAAAAAGAGTTTTTTTTTTAAAGGGTAAGAAACTAAGTAGAGACATTAGTAACCATTTTAATAAGAGCTTGGTTTACAGCCAATTTTGGAAAATGGAATAAGAACACCCATAAACTGAAGAGAAAATGGAAATGATTCTTTCAGCCTCTTTCTTGAGGGTAAATAATGCAGACTCTTTGAATATAGATGTTCGGCGGATTCCATGGTTAAAAAGTTTAACTCTGTTATATTATTATGCATGCCTTAGTTTTCTGAACAAATTCACGAGAAAGAGAATTAATATCTACTCAGTATCTAGGTGGATTTTAAATGATCAAATCAATAAAAGTGAATAACTTCAAAATGTTTGTAACATAGTAAATAATATTTATCCTTGCTCTTATTTTCTTAAACTATTAGATGGAATCTTTTAGGGAAAAATAAACAAGAAAAGATGACTGAAGTAAAGAGAAAGTGCATATTGAGCATAGTAATTTTTTTGCCTTTAATACCCCCTATCATCCTCAATTAAAAAAAGTCAAGAAGTTTAAGCATGTAGTTCCTTGGGTTCTGTTGAGTGATAAGCACATGAGCAAAGGCAGAATTCACTTTGGAACCCTGGAGTATCTTTCAGCAAGCAATAAGAAAACATGTGATGGGGCCGAAGAGTTAGTACAGCGGATAGGGCATTTGCCTTGCATACAGCCAACCTGGGTTCTATCCCCGGCATCCCTTATGGTCTCCCAAGTACCGCCAGGAGTAATTCCTGAGTGCAGAACCAGGAGTAACCCCTGAGCATCGCTGGGTGTGGCCCAAAAAGAAAAAAAAAGAAAAAGAAAACATGAAGGTATTTTTTTTTCTATTGAAAATTAGAACCATAGTTTCAGGTGCAATTTGATGCTTTGTAAAAGCATGAATGGAAAAAAAATACCTCTAATATACCACGCTCGATCAAGTGCTGTTAGTGGCTTAGAATACCTTGTTTCGAAAGATTTCTAATCCCAGGGCTTAAGAGATGGCACAACAGGACAGGCACTTGCCCTGAGCCAGCCATCCCCAGTTCAATTCATGGCATCACAGACAGGAGGATATTCCTGAATACAGACCCAGAAATAAGATATTAGCATTGCTGGCTGGAAAGAGAAAGAAAACAAGGAAAGAAAGGAGGGAAGGAGGAAGGATAGAAAGCAGAGAGGAAGGGGAGGAGAGAGAAGAGAGTTGAAAAGTTCAAATTCATTTGAAAAAAATATTAAGTAATAACAATAATGCTTTTTACTTGAGAGTATATCATTTATATATCATCCTTATTTTAATATGTAGTATTTTATACATAAGTTTTCTGATTTTGTCTGTACTATGGTGTAAGACATAAGTTGAATTTCTCTTATAATATGACATAGTGTGAGGGTGTAAGGTTTTACTTTTTTGATAATGGAAAAACTGATTTTCCTTCTATGGTCAGATTTCTCAGGGAAAGAATGTGATGATTCCCAGCTGGTGTCACACTTGATGAACTGCAAAGAAGGAAAAGTGGCCATTTCTCCATTTGTTTGTCTCTCTGGGAACACTGATAGTGTTCTGCTTCAACCAGCAACTTCAGACAATGTAAGTGGAAAATGTAGTTTATTTATAAGCAGTGTTTCAGGGACTGAGAGATAGTAAACATGTACTCGGCCAATCTGGGTTTAGTCCATGGCATCCCATATGGTGCCCTAAGAACTGCCAGGAGTAATTCTAGATTACAGAGCTAGGAGTAAGTCCTGAGCTTCGCAGGGTAGATGGCCCACAAACAAACAAACAAACTAAAGAAATAAAATGGTACCTCAAATAGAATAAAATGATACCTCAAATAGAATGTGTTTATATTTGTTGCAACTGTTCTAAGTCACCATAAATTTACAAAGTTCTTCATCATTTAGTTTCAAGAAGACAGTGTTTCAACACGTTTCCCGTCACCAAGCACCCTGCTCCCCAACCTATTTGCCTTCTTCTACCCACCAATCTGCTTCTACAGGAGACTCTTTACGTGTGTGTGTGTGTGTGTGTGTGTGTGTGTGTGTGTGTGTGTGTTTGCACTGTGGTTTAATGTTGCTGATGGGGTTTCATTCCTAATGTTACCACCTTTCAGCATCACCTCCTCCTCTCATCCCCTCAATTTTTCTAGCCATTCTTGGTTTAAAAAAGGGATTGATATTTTCCAAATTGAAAATGTTATAAAAAGTCCAGGGTTTTGTTTTGTTTTGCTTTTTGGGTCATACCCAGCAATGCTGAGGGGTTACTCCTGACTCAGCATTCAGAAATCACTCCTGGCAGTACTTGGAAATCCCTATGGGATGCCGAGAATTGAAACTGGATTTTCCACGTGCAAAGCAAATGCCTGACCCAGTGTACTATCACTCTGGCCCCAAGTCCAGGTTTAATGATGTTCTTGAGTCTAGTAGGATTCTAGGCACTCATGGTTGGCCCATGGGACCCTGCTCCGTTAGACCGAATGCCCAGTAGCTTCCCCTTTCCTTCTGGGTTTGAAAACTCCAGGGAGACTGACACAGGCTTGCTATGAAAGAGTTTCTTAATGTTGTCTTCAGGCTTTCCCAGTTTCACTGTAGATGCCATAAATCCCATTTAAATTTTGCATCTCAGGGGATCAAGAAAGAATATAAAAAAATGAAACATATTTGGAAGAGCTGGGATAATCCATTTGAATGTAATAAGCCTATAGAAATTTAAATTCTATTTTAATACAAAATTTGCAGAACGAAATAAATTTTGTCACATTCAGTATCATGGATTGCAACTGATGTCTAGTAGGTTACAAAGTTTCATGTCTCTCCTGTAAAATAGTTCACTATGGCTTAAAATCATTTGGAAAAATTGTATTGACCCTTTTACATGATGACATTTGTTTTTCATACTAAATTTGATTAGATTCAAATGATAGAGGTATGGATGTCAATTTGTTAAATAAATCACAGCATATGTAAAACAACAACAACAAAAAGCCCATAAAATGCAGGACCAGAGATAGAAGATAAGGTATTTGCCTTCCATGTGGCAATTCTCAGTTCAAAGTCCCAGCACCTCATATGGTCCCCTAAGCCTTGCCGGGAGTGAACCCTGAGCACAGAGTCAGGAGTAAACTCTGAGCCCTTCTGGCTGTCATCCAATTTTCCTCACCCAAAATGAAGGGCAAGATAGGTAGCTCAAAGTACTGGAGCATGTTCTTTGCATGCAGAAGCTCTGGCTTTAATCCCTGACACCACAAGATCCCCTGAGCAACACTCAGGAAGTCACTCCTCAGCTCTAAAGTAGGAATTGAAACAGCAATCACCATTACCCAGCACTCCCCCCAAAATGTATAAAAATAGCAGTGATTTAATACCAATATTATAAAATTAAAAGTAAGTTAATAAAGTTTTTTTTCGAGGTTTTTTTTATTAGTGAAACACCATGAGGTACAGTTACAGAGTTACAAATTTTTGGGTTTCAATGATTTATATAAACTATATATATATTACATAACTCTTCTGATTTTTGTTCAATTAATATGCCTCAAATGATCAGCAATCCATCATTAGAATATATTTTTATGTTTCAATGAACTAATAAATGATAGGTTTCACTTTCAGTTTCATTAGAAGCAAGTTGATTTTTCAAAAAAAAATTTTTTTAACTTGGTACCAGTTTTGATTTGTTTTTGGGGTCACACCTAGCAGTGTTTAGGTTTACTCTTGGCCCTGTGAACAAGGATTACTTCTGATGAACTGGTGTTGGATTTATGGGGTGCCAGGAATTAAAACTGAGTTGGCCACATGCAAGGCAAACACCCTAATCTCATACTCTCTCTGGGTCCTTACTTGGTCCTTAAAGTCATTCATTTTAACAACAAAAAAGCATTGTTGTCCTTTGTTGCTACTCTATATATTTAACCTCCAAGAAAGTTTGAATCTTAGTGAGTTAGAGGAGGGCTATATGTATTGGTTTTTAACCTTAGAGAAGAGAATTCGTAAGAAAGGATTTCTTTTCCGTTTTTACTAAAAGGCACATTGGTAACATAAATTGGAGATCACTACTCCAGAGTTTGTCTGAAGTCCCCTGAGGCTAGGTCTGTACGAATGTATTTCATTCCCCTTGTTGCATAAAGCCCCATCTGAGTTATGTCGTAATGAGCTGGATTTTTTGACTGGAGAGTTAATATAGTGGATAGGGTTCTTGCCTTGCATGTGGTTGACTTACTTTTGATCCATAGCACCACATACGCCCGCCCCCCCCCAGCCCTCCAGGAGTGATCCCTAATCACAGAGCCAAGAGTAATCCCTGAACACTGCCAATGGCCCCAAACAAAAAACAAAACAAGTTGCCTTTGAATAATGTAGAATTATGGCACAATACAATAAGTACTTTTATTCCTTGTTTCACTGTAGTAAAACTATTCATATGTACATAAACACTATAAAAACTCATTGATAAAATTCTGTAGTATAAAGCTAAATATTCAGTAGCTTTATGCTACGTTTTATTTTGCTTCATTTCTTCTTTCCCCAGGCTATTTATCCTGTCAAACTTAATGTATTAACTTCTTCCTTTAAAATCTTAATATTGCGGCTAGAGCGATAAAATCTTAATATTGCAGCCATAGCCATAGCAAAACGAGTAGGGCATTTGTCTTGCACGTGGCCAATCTAGGTTCCATCCGGGGCATCCCACATAGTTCCCTGAGAACCACTAGGAAGAATTCCTGAGTGCAGAGCCAGGAGTAACCCCAGAGCATAGACAGATGTGATCCAAAGAGTTAAAAAAAACTTAATACTAAAAATAAACTGTTCTTGTAGTTTTTTAATTTCACAACATAATTTTTAAAAACTGTATTCTGTAATGGTCTTCCATATAGTGACATGGGACTATTTTATATTTTATTACATCCCAGCATTTCATAGCACAAATTGATCTATTCTTTTAATATATTTTTAAAAAATTTTAGTGCAACAATATTATATGAGCAATAGGGTCACTATGTATATCTAGCACACATGAACAAAAAATTTCTTTGAGTGTCAATCTTCTAAAATTTTAGTGGAAACGCCTTTTTTAGGTCTTAGTAGAATTACTATATTCCAAGAATTTCTAATAATAAGAAAATTTGAAACTAATACCAAGTAGTTTTATCAATTGTATATCTCATTAGCATTATAATTGAGTATTTATTAACCCTTTAGTTTTCAAAAACAAAATAATATATACAGCTAACTACTTGTTAATAGCTCTGGTCTTTCCTTCCTTTTTATTTGGGTATTAAACACCAAAGAGATTGAAGTTGCCCTTCAGCTGAATTTTTCTTATGGCAACCTTACTAAGAACTCAGCAGATCTATTTCCTACACTGGTTAGAATACTGGTAAACATTTTAATTGGTTCTTTTTTCCTAGTCAGTGTGTCGGGTGGTAGAAATTGCCATAAAAAGGCTCTGGGGGTAACAGAGTTTATAGTTGCAGACTAGCTTATGAAGGAACCAGTTCATTGCATGAGAAAGACATCTTTCTTCATCTTTCTTCACCTTTAAAATTACAACTACAAAGCAGAATAAACTTTAAGAAATGGTTCAAATGCTTAAAATAATTTCTTAAATTTATGAACATGCCTTATGAGTAAAAACATTAAGAACAGTTATATTTCTTCAGGTCATTCTGCGCACAGTTAATATCAGTTACTCTCAAGCTCCTATACTGAAAAAACACAAATTTGATAACCAAGGAAGACTAATGCCCCTTAATTCTTATGCACTTGATTTTTATAAGCATGGATCCTTGAAAGGATTAGCCCAGGACAACGGGTATGTTTTATCTGTCTCCATCTTTCTCTATTTTTCTCTCTCTTTTATTTTCAACTCTGATTGTCACCTTTACCCTCCATCTGTCTTTAACTCCATGTCTGCCTTCATGTTTATGTACATATCTTTTATAAAGTCCATTTTTATGCCCACCTATAGCTCTTATAACTTGAATGTAATGAATTTTTTTACAAAGCCATTTTACAATTCAAATTGTGAGTCAAACATACAGCAAATTTTTTCCTTTGGACTGAAAAAAAGAAAAAAACAGTAAATTTATATATGGTCTTGCTCGTTACTAGCAAAATTTTGGGACTTATTCTGCCTCACTGGACATAAAGATCTACTGGGCAGATAAAATATATTTGCACACACACTTGCACATATTTTTATTTCTTATTTTTAATTCAGGATTAGATATTTAAAAACTGAATAAAATAATGTCATGTTCTATCTCACCTGAGAGTAGTGTATAAAATTCACATAAATTACACATACATAACAAGAGAACATAACAATTTTTCAGCCATTTGGCAAGAAAACTATTTTCAAAATCAGTAAACAGGGATAAATTCTCTTGGAGATTTATCTGAAAATGGATAAATTGTCCCAAATTGCCAATGAACCCATTGATATGGGAAGAGGCATTTTCTCACATGAATCTGGAATTCAATATGCATTTTCCATGAAATTTTAACCATCTTTATTGAGGTATTTAAGTTCTTACATTAAAAAACATTCTTACATAATTGAGTAGTGTTTATAGTTTATAAAAACGACTCATTATTTTGCATAAAGAAACTGATATTTGAAAAGAATTAACTTAGTTATTTTCTTCTGAGTTTCTAGCTCCATTCATCCTACTGACCTCTAATTTTCTACTTTGTTTTTCTCATGAGATGGCCAGTCTCCTGCTTTTATCAGTTCTTTATTTTCATAAAAAATTTGTCTCTTGAATTCATAATTATCATTCTCACAGTTTAAACTATCACTTTGGATTCTTATAAATGCATCTTGACAGATAAAGATGATCTATTATTTCTAAGGCAAACATTTGGAAATAAGAGTATTAATATTTTTAATCTATTAATTTTCAAAATGTTGCTTTCCCTAGGCTGAATGAAGGAGATGCTTATTTGCTGTTGAAAGATTTTATGCTCACCATTGAAAGTATCAGGTGGGTTATGAATTTTAAACACTAATATTAGAGACAGAGTGATATTACACTGGGTAAGTCCCTTGCCCTGCATGCAGACCACCAATGTTCTATACCAGGTGAAATATTAGGTCCCCACAGCAGAGCCAGGAGTGATCTCTGAGCACAGAACCATGAGTAAGCCCTAAGCCCAGCTCTGTGTGGCCCATTAACCAAACACCAAAACAAGTTTAAGAAACAAAAATAAATATCAATTTTTTAAAATTTGTTAGCAATTTGAAAATAGTTAAGCTCACACAGAAATGTACCTTTGAGTCTCAGAGATTCTAATTTCAGTTCCTCAAATGCTAAAGAACTTTCTTCAATATTCTATATTTTTTTGTAACCTAATAAATTCTATATCCCATTTGACCAAAAATTCTGATCAAATCAGGACCTAAGTGGTGGAACAGTGGTTAAGAGCTTGCTTTACACACAGACCCCTAGGTCTCATTGGCAGTGATGCCTAAGTGCAGAGCCAGGAGTAACCCTGAACACCTCTGGGTGTGGCCCCCAAACAAACAAGAACAAAGCCAAAATATTCTGATCAGATCAGGTACTATGTGCCAAGAGACTGCAATATTCCAAAACCTCTTCAATTCTTAAATTCAATATCCTCAGTTTTTACATGTTAAATACATGGTACTGCACAAACTCCTTTACACAACTCAAAGCTTCTGTATATAAATTTTGGTTTATAATTACTTACATATTTTATTTACTTGCTGTGTCCAGTATTTTCACTAGAATGTATCCAAGGAATATCTGTACTGGTTTCTTGATTCTATTGTTACATAGCCTGCTGGGGATCCTACCAATTCTACTAACTTTAGGCTCTTTCAAAATTTTCAAACATTCTAGATGCTTCTAGAATATCTCATCCTGCCTGGTTAAATGTCCACTTTTCTAAAGTCTCTGATTTCCTTCATTGATTGTGTGTTTCTTTACCTAGTATTTAAAGTTATAAATACCTAGACGTATGGGCACCTTGTGAAGGTGTTGTTAATTTTAGTGTTCTTGTTAATATGTAATATGTCACTGCTTTCTAATTTTTTTATATAACATTTATCAGACCCTCATGGAATTTTTAGTTTAGAAATGCTAGCACAGAAGGGATTTACTTTGTTCATCTGGGATATTCATGGACATTGCTCATCAAGAAAATCTAGAAACCATGGATTTAGTCTCATAAATTGTGTCTAGAAAACCATCTACCTATCCATCCTCCAATACTTCTAAGTACTGAAGTACTATTTATTGGAGATGTCTGAGCATTTGAATCATTAAATATACATACTACTTGCCTTTAAAACTCTTACGAGAGAAACTGACCTGCAGATATTACAAAGGTAGAAAGTACTATGGATGATAGCTAAAGACTGACTGATTCAGATTTGGATTTTTTTGGAAAACACATCCAGTGATATTCAGGAGTTATTCAAGGCTCTGCACTCAATAATTACTCCTAGCAGTGCTTTAGATGCTGAGTCAAACACAGGTTGGCCTCATGCAAGTGTCTCTTCTGCCCCATATTAGTGATGAATTTATTTTCACTTATGCATAAGAATCAGAAAAATATAATTCTTAAATCAGTATTCTCAAATGTTGCATTTTTTTAAAAAACTGAGTCTTAAGTAAGAAAATCAGGGAATAATATTTTCAAAGAAAAAAAAAAAAGAAAGTATCTGATGTGTCCAGAGTAAGCTTCAATTTCACTATGGTGGCATTTATAGGGGCATTGTGATAGGAATGGGGAACATGCTGAGCTGCTTGACTCTTGGTTATCAGAAATTATGATTATTACATTATTAATTTTACATTATTACATTTGCATTATTTGGAGAGCCCGGCAAGCTGCCGAGAGTATCTCGCCCGCAAGGCAGAGCCTGGCAAGCTACCCGTGATGTATTCGATATGCCAAACACAGTAACAACAAAGTCTCCAATGGAGACGTTACTGGGCCCGCTCGAGCAAATCAATGAACAACAGGAGGACAATGACAATGACAATGACATTTGCATTATTAATTTGGGGCCTTAATATTCTGTGCATTATGTAGATAATACTGAAAAATGAATGTGAGATGAATCAATAATTTATTCATGTGATAGAATTGTATGTGATCAATACAGGTGACAGAGACTCCAAGTCATACAATGGAGAGTGAGTGAAGATCCAAATCAAGTCAATCGAAGACTTCTGTCACTGTCACTGTCCTCCCATTGTTCATCGATTTGCTCAAGCGGGCCCAGTAACATCTTCATTTTGAGATTCTGTACAACATTTTTCAGCTAATTGTGTTTCTTCTCAGTATTTTTTATATTTTGCTAGTGAGGTTTACTTCTTTTACTCTTTCAGAATTTTGTTTTATTATTATTTCCCTTTGTTTTATTTTGTGAAAGCACCATGATTTGGTAGCTTGCCAGGCTTTGCCATGCGGGCGAGATACTCTTGGTAGCTTGCCGTGCTCTCGGAGAGGGGCAGAGGAATCGAACTTGGCTGGATGCTAGGTAAACACCCTACCAACTGTGCTATCTGGCTGGAACGATAGCACAGTGGGTAGGGCGTTTGTCTTGCATGCGGCCGACAGGGCCGACCTGTGTTCTGATTCCTCTGCCCCTCTCGGAGAGCCCGGCAAGCTACGAAGAGTATTTCGCCTGCTTGGCAAAGCATGGCAAGCTCCCTGTGATGTATTTGATATGCCAAACACAGTAGCAACAAGTCTCAGAATGTTGCTGGGCCCGCTCGAACAAATCGATGAACAGCGGGAGGACAGTGCTACAGTGCTACCATGATTTGAAGAGTATTTTTGTATTTGGGTTTTGGTGATAGGACATTCCATCACTGATCCTGCCACCAGGGTTCCCAGTTCCCTCTTTCCCCACTCCCTGCCTGCCATCTCATCAGGCACCTTTTTAAGTTTTATTTAAGTTTATTTATGTTTTGGTCTCATGCTTTCAGTGTTTCGAACTTTGTGCTTTGGATAATTAACTCTCTCCTCCCTTAACACCACCCCTCACACATTGACCCTTACCCTCTATTGCTTCTCATCTATCTCTTCTCCCCCGAGTCTCCACTTCTGTATTTTGAAAGAAAAAGCCTATTTCTAATATTCATTCTCACCAAAATGGGTGCTGTACATATAAGTGTGTATGTTTATTTCCATTTGCAGTGTTTCCTTGCGTGAGCTGTGTGAAGATGAGGAAGACAGTGTGGTGTTGGCATTTGAACAACTGAGTGAAACTTATGCAGAAAAATTTAATAAAGTCTGAAGAAAAAGTTTATTTAAGCCATTTAAAACATGCCTGGAGGCCTTTTCAGTTCATATTTGGTGAATCATTTGTTTTTAAATGCAAGTATGATGCAGAGGAAAGAGCAAGTGTTTTGCAATCCAAGTTGTGATCAAGTCATTCATTTTTCTCTTATGGGTACTCAAATAAATTATTTCATGTCTCTGAGTCTGGTTTTACTATAAATTTGAGTAATGATATTGATACTTTAGCTAGTTTCTATGTTGAGAAAATGCAACTATGTCGTGTCTAAAGAGTGTTTCCTACTTTACAAAATCTAAGAAAATATTTCATTTATGAACATTATCCTCTAGGTGTTTGAAAATATTAAGTATGTAATTATCTACATTTGATTACATCACTTAGATATATCATCTTTATTATTGTATATTTTATTAAATGAAACCTATGGGGCTGGAGTGATAATACAGTGGGTTGGGTGTTTGCCTTAAGCACAGCTGACCTGGGTTCAATTCCCAGCATCTCATATAGTCTCCCGAGTATCAGCAGAAGTAATTCCTGAGTGTCAAGCCAGGAGTATGCCCTGTGCATCGCCAGGTGTGACATGTGGGAAGCTGGCCCTTTAACTGACCAAGAGCCTACGTGCCTGTGCGGCTGACCTGACCTATGTGACCCTCAGCAGGTGAAGCCTGTGGTATGGCTATCTTGACCTACGTGACCCTCAGCAGGTCAAGCCTGTGCTAGGTAGGGCTATCCTGACCTACGTGATCCTCAGCAGGTAAAGTCTGTGCTTTGTATGGTTATCCTGAGAAAACAATTGTCATGGCTGTAACTGACAATGATTAACTTATTATAAGCCTTGTAATGCATGGTATGTTAAACTTATAGACTCTGTAACTTTCCTAACCACATTTTGAGCACGACCCTTTGTGTAGCTGCCTCACTATATATACCCCCATCACCCTCAATAAAGCCTGTCCCTTTTCCTCTTTGTTTCTGAGCTGCATTCTGTCTCTTGTGTCTTGTGTTCATTCGGTCGGTCCCTCCCTGCACCTACAGATCCTAGGGCCACCTCCGCGGGCCAGAGAGTGGTCTGGCGGGGCCCCCCGCAGTGACACAAAAAGAAAAAAAAAGAAAAATTGTTTGGGGGGAGATGTCAATATATTCAACCCTGTTCCCTTGGTCTACAGCTCTGCCTTTATTTCAGTGCCATGCTGTTTTAAGTATTACTGCTTTGTAGTAGAGTTTGAAGTTAGGGAGGTTGATTCCTCCCATTTTCTTTTTCCCAAGAATTGCTTTAGCTATTTGTGGGGGCTTATCGTTCCATATGAATTTCAGGAGTGTTTGCTCCATTTCTTTGAAAAATGTCATGGGTATCGTTATAGGGATTTCATTGAATTTGTACAATGCTTTGGGAAGTATCGCCATTTTGACAATGTTAATTCTCTTGATCCATGAGCAGGGGATATCTTTCAATTTTCTTGTGTCCTCTTTTATTTCCTGAAGTAGCGTTTTGTAGTTTTCTTTGCACAGGTCCTTTACTTCCTTAGTTAAGCTGATTCCTAAGTACTTGGTTTTCTGGGGCACAATTGTGAACGGGATTTTTTTTCATGTCACTTTCTTCTCTCTCACTATTTGAGTATAGGAAAACCACGGACTTTTGGATATTATTTTATAGCCTGCAACTTTACAATACAACTTTGTATTGTTTCTAGGAGTTTCTTGGTAGAGGTTTTAGGGTTCTCTATAGTATCATATCATCTGAGAATAGTGAGAACTTGATTTTTTCCTTTCCTACCTGAATTCCCTTAATATCTTTTTCTTGCCTATTCATTATTGTCAGTACTTCCAGTACTATATTGAACAGCAGTGGAGAGAGTGAGCATCCTTGTCTTGTCCCTGATCTTAGAGGGAATGCTCTCAGTTTTTTCCCATTGAGGATGATGCTTACTGTAGGCTTGTGGTAGATGGTTTTAACTATATTGAGGAAAGTCTCCTTTGTGCCCACTTTGGCAAGGGTTTTCATCATAAAGGGGTGCTGGATCTTGTCAAATGCTTTCTCTACATCTATTGATATGATCATATGCTTTTTATCCTTTCTTTTTGTGAATATGATGGATTATATTGATTGATTTCCGAATGTTAAACCATCCTTGCATCCCCGGGATGAATCCCACTTTGTCATGGTGTATGATCTTTTTGATGAGTTGTTGGGTTCTATTTGCTAATTGTTGAGGATCTTTGCATCTGTGTTCATCAGGAATATAGGCCTGTAATTCTCTTTCTTTATGGTATCTCTGAATGCTTTTGGTATCAGGGTGATGTTTACTTCATAGAAACTATTAGGAAGTGTCTTTGATATTTCAATTTTGTGGAAAAGCTTAAAGAGGATTGGGAGTAAGTCCTCTTTAAAGATTTGGAAGAATTCACTAGTGAATCTATCTAGGCCAGGACTTTTGTGCTTGGGGAGACTTTTCATTATTGTTTTAGTTTCCTTGATGGTGATAGGTCTGTTTAGGTATTCCAGGTCTTCTTGGTTCAGCCTTGGGAGGTTTCAGGAATATAGGAATTTATCCATTTCCTTGAGATTTGACAAGGGAGCAAGAAATGTGAAGTGGACCAAAGAAAGCCTCTTTAATAAATTGTGCTGGCGAAACAGGACAGCTACATGCAAAAAAATGGGCTCAGATCTCTGCCTAACACCATGTACAAAAGTAAGATCAAAATGGATTAAAGACCTCAACATCAGACTGGAATCCATAAGGTACATTGAAGACATAGTTTACAAAACCCTCCATGACATTGAAGCTAATGGTATCTTCAAAGATGTCATGCCACTGGCCAAGCAAGTGAAAACAGATATAGAAAATGGGACTATCTTAACCTAAGAAGCTTCTGCACCTCAAAAGAAATAGTGACCAAAATAAAAAGACAGTCTATAGAATGGGAAAGTATATTTGCCAAATACACATCCGTCAAGGGGTTGATATCAAGGATATACAAAATACTGGTTGAACTCCACAAGAAAAAACATCCAACTCCATCAAAAAATGGGGCGCTGAATGAACAGAAACTTTCTAAAAGAAGAAATCCGAATGGAAAAAGGCACACGAGAAAATGCTTTACATCAATAATCATCAGAGATGCAGATCAAAACAACAATGAGTTGTCATCTCACACCACAGAGACTGGCCCACATCCTAAAGAACAAAAGCAACCGGTGCTGGTGCAGATGTGACAAGAAACGCACCCTCCTCCACTGCTGGTGGGAATGCCAGCTGGTTCAGCCCTTTTGGAAAACAGTATGGATGATTCTCAAAATATTAGAAATTCATGGGGGCTTGAGAGATAGCACAGTGGGTAGGGCATTTCCCTTGCACACAGCCCACCCGGGTTCGATTCCCAGCATCCCATATTGTCCGCTGAGCACCGCCAGGAGTAACTCTTGAGTGCAGAGCCAGGAGTAACCCCTGTGCACCGCCAGGTGTGACCCAAAAATAAAATAAAATAAAATAAAATTGCATCAAAAATTAGAAATTGAACTCCCATTTGACCCAGCAATACCACTCCTGGAAATATAGCCCAGAGAGGCAAAAAAGTATAGTTGAAGTGACATCTGCACTTGTGTGTTCATTGCAGCACTGTTTATAATAGCCAGAATCTGAAAAAAAACCTGAGTGTCCGAGAACAGATGACTGGTTAAAGAAACTTTGATACATCTACACAACGGAGTACTATGTAGCTGTTAGAAGAGATGAAGTAATAAAATTTACATACAAGTGGTACTACAAGGAAAGTATCATGCTAAGCGAAATAAATCAGTAAGAGAGGGAGAGACATAGAAAGATTGCATTCATCTGGAGAACATAAAGTAACAAAATGGGAGACTAACACCCAAGAATCGCCGAGATAAGTACCAGGAAGTTCACTCCATGGCTTGGAGGCCAGCTGCACATGTGATGGGAAAAGGCAGCGCAGATAGAGACGAGAGCACCAAATAAAGGGTTTGGGACGATCCTCCCAGGACGGGAGATGCATGCTGAAAGTAAACTGTAGGCCAAACATGATTGCCACTCAATGCCTCTTTTACAAACTACAGCACCCAAAAGGAGAGAGAAAACAAAAGGAAATGCCCTGCTACAGAGGCAGGGTGGTATGCGGGGGATGGGGGTGGGTGGGATACTGGGATCAGTGGTGGTGGAAAATGGGCACTGGTGGAGGGATGGGTACTAGATCATTGTATAACTGAAACCCAAGCACAAAAATTTGTACATCTACAACTGTACCTCATGGTGTTTCACTAATATAAATTAATAAAAAAAAACTATTTAAAATGTTTTTGAAATATTTTTGTGTAAATTTTGTGATGCTTTATAACAAAATATTGCTGGTATTTGGTATGTTTTTATTTAGTAAATTTTGGTAAACTGCAAATATTGAAATGGATTGATTTATTACAAGCATAATTACAATGTCTATAATTCTCATTTTTTGAGAGGGAAAATCATATTGATACTGTGCTCATAAAAGTTCGTTTGAAATAATGAATTTATCTAAAACTTTAATTTATAAAAGTTGGAATTATGAAGATGTATGCGATCTCTCTGGGAAAGTTGAGGCATTAGGGAAAAATAAAAATTTTTAAATGTACTACTTAGACAATATGTTTTCTGGCTAGGAGGTTTGTTCTAGGATCTAGAGATACAGAAGCAAATTTTAGAAATCCAAAATATGTAGACAAATTAAGAAAATGGAAAATTCCAATAGAAAAATATGAAATATAAACGAGTTAAAGTTTGAAAATAAGAACATACCTATACTAAGATTGTAGCTTGTCAATAATTCAATGGTAGTACAAAGTTTTTGGAACATGAAGGGAATTCAACTTTCTTCCAAAGTACATGAAAACGCTATACGTGTTTTACTTCTGCTTACTTTGGAAAGGCCATTGATTGCACTGTAGATGGTGGAGAGGTTGGGTGAGGATGAATTAAGTCATTAATAACCACCACCTTGAGAGCCTAGTTGGGGAGGGGTGCTGACTGAAGTCCAGACTAGTGGTGTCTCTTAGTCACATTCATCCTGATTGCCTATCCCTTGTGCTAGAGTGATAGCACAGTGGGTAAGGCGTTTGCCTTGCAGGTGGCCGACCCAGGTTCGATTCCTCCATCCCTCTTGGAGTGCTCGGCAAGCTACCGAAAATATCTTGCCTGCACGGCAGAGTCTAGCAAGTTCCCTGTGGCGTATTCAATATGCCAAGACCAGTAACAACAAGTCTCACAATGGAGACATTACTGGTGCCCACTAGAGCAAATTGATGAACAACAGGAGGACAGTGCTACAGTGCCCCTCCCTTAAGACCTGCCAATCGAAGTTACTGCTTGAACAAATAATACATTCCTTTTTATTAATAAATTTTGTGCCATGGGATTAATATACCAGACTTAAAATTATTCAACTAACTAAGGTACTTTTGAGTTGTTTTCAGTTTGAATCTATTAGTAATAAATACCTCACTGGCATTCATTTTTGCTTTGTTTCTTATTCTTCTATAGCTGTGTTTCTGCCTTCTAGAAAATTACCTGAAGATTCCTGCATTTCATTTTGACATAAAGTGTGTTGGAATATACCACTTTGTGTATTTTGTTATTGGAAAATTTCTGTAACCTAATACACTTCATAAATGGGGGAAAGAAAGCCTCTTCAAAAAATGGTGTTGGAGTAACTGAATGAGCACATGCAAAAACTAAAATGATAAAACAAAGCCCAGTAGATATCTATCTCATACCGTATATAATATTTTATTTCAAATGGATAAAATACATTCTATAAAATATTATATAAGAATCCATAATTTTATCTATTGAGAAAAACAAAGAACTCTTCTGATATCCACCTGAGATGTAGTGATGAAATTCCACTAACAAAACTAATGAAAGTAAAATTGTGGGATTACATCAATGTAAAAAGGATTTATACGGCAAAA